AAATATCTTTTTTATAGTTAAAAGAAGTAAAATGTTTGCGTGTTGATCGATTTCTCTTTCTATTCTTCTTCTCTTAACTATAGTTATTCTCACAGCTAAGAAAAGTAGGTCAGAACTAAGAACAGCTGTTATGTACGATGAATGACTAATCCAGTAAGACAAAAGACGAAGTAAAGAGAAAGAAAATAAGTTGATATATAGTTAATCATACATCGTAAAAAAATAATGGAGTTGGATACAATGATCGTTCAAGTTAATGATAATGAGAAGATGTTTTATGCAAAAATAGATAAATACATTAATTGCTTAGGTGATAAATTTCGTGAAAAGGCTGTTATCAAACAGCAAGTGTATAATGATATCATGCAATGTTTGTTATTGGCAAAAGGTAAAAAACTTGATCCTCATTCACCAGTTTTTGTTTATTGGGCGAAACAAAAATTTATCTTGATTAAAATTGGTAATATTGATATTGTTGCTTGTGTCAAATCGAAAAAACCAGTTTGTGTTTATGAATATTTTTATAATGTTATTAAGGAAGGACATACTAATATTTCGCATGGTGGTCGTGACAAGACCATCTTTGAATTAAATTCTCAATATTCTTTTATTCCTCGGTTTGCTATTGATATATTTATGAAGCAATGCATTCAGTGCCAGACAAGAAAACCAATTAAACAGCATGTAGTATCGAAACCAATTATTGCATTAGGTGTAATGACTCGACTACAGATTGACTTGATTGACATGCGGACAAGACCAGATAAAGTTTCATCTGATCTTGTTTATTTATGGATTTTGAATTGTATTGATCATTTTAGCAAATTTTCATGGGCTTATCCCTTGAAAAACAAATCTGCTATTGAGGTTGCTATGAAACTACGTGAGTTGTTCTTTGTTTTTGGGCCATCACGTATACTTCATAGTGACAATGGTCGTGAATTTGTAGCCAGTGTTATTACAGATTTGAAAAATCTTTTTCCTGATTTGGTGTTCATTCATGGCAGGCCGAGACATCCACAAAGCCAAGGTTGCATCGAAAGAGCAAACGGGGTTTTGTGTGATGCTCTCGGCAAATGGATGGATGGTAATAGTTCTTCTAGTTGGTCTTCTGGTTTATTGCCTGTTACATATGGAATCAATACCAGGCAATCTAGTGTAACTAAGACCACTCCTTATGCATTAATGTTTGGGCAGGCACCACGTAGTGAATCTGATTTTTGGAAGTTAGTATATGATAATGGAATTGAAGACGAAGAATCCTTACCAACTCCTATTGCTGAATTAAATGATGACTTGATTGATGATAAGGATGATAATCGAATTACTTCAGATGATGGTATTGATAGTGAAGTGATTGATCTAGTTAGTCAATTATCTGCTGATGCTTGTTCTCATTCATTAATTAGTACACCATCAAGACATTTTGCAATTCGTACAGTTGCTACAGATCATTATCTGGCAACTGCAAATAAAAAAATGAAATTATATCAAGATAGTTCGAAGCTTATGGGAGACAATTTTGATTTAAATGATTGTGTTGGTATCGAAATTCATTCTGTTGATCGAACAAATACAGATCCAAAATATTTGCCATGTATCATTGTTGAAAAATATGAAAGGAATAATATTTTGTTATTTAAATTGATTTGTCAATATGGGTCTTTGAACAACACCTTTGAAGCTGGGCAATTAATGAATCTGAAAGATGCTTGTCCTAATGATTTGAAACTTGTTAATATTGACGATCTTAAGCCTATTACCATTATTGAGGCTTCAAGACTTTATTCTCGTGGTTCAACAACAGGACGTACTTGTAATTGTCGAGGCAATTGTGCGATGAAAACATGTCCATGTAAAAAAGAAAATGTTTTCTGCTCTACCAAATGTCATTCAAAGAGAGGTGGATGCTTAAACATGGATTAAAAATAATTAGAACTAAATAATGTTTGTTAAAAAGTACTGTAAAATAAAAAAACCTATTCACACTTAGATTATTTCTCTTTCTTCGCGTTCTTTTAACTATAAAAAAGATATTTGAATTTTGCCTAGTCAAAATTAAAATTATAATTTTGACTGAGAATATATTAGTCAAAATTAAAATTTGAATTTTGCCCAGTCAAAATTAAAATTATAATTTTGACTGGAAATATATCAGTCAAAATTGAAATTTGAATTTTGCCTAGGCAGAATTCTAATTCTAATTTTGCCTAGTCAAATTTCAAATTTGACTGGATTTTAATTTTGCCTACAACACATATATATCTTTCGTTCTGTATCCAAAGAAACATCGTGTTACAAAGAATACGAAATCAGTCAGCGTGTAACATTGGATGCATGTCTGTTGTATGATCGCGCATTCAATCTAATCTTTGTTTTCCTTGTCAAGAATTGAAACTTTTTTATTAAAATAATCTTTTATTTTAGACATTACAAGTATCATCTACGGTGTCCTTTATTCAGTTGTTGGTGAAATGATTCTTGATTATTGTTCAACATTAACTTTTTCTTCCAAGTTGATTTAACCACGTATGTTTACAATCAAACATTTAAGTAAAACAAATTTTAGTATAAATAATCAATTCAAATTTATTCTTGCAGATTTGATTATACATTCGATGGAAAAGCTTCGATTGAACTTGTCTATCATTTTACAGCTGCTGTACTTATTGATACAATTTATAATGGTTGCAATACTACTGTTTTTGCCTATGGTCAAACAGGATTTGGTTCGTGAAAATATTCATTTTATTTCAATTATCTATTTTCTCATATATAGGTAAAACATTTACAATGGGTGGTGGCGATTTATCATTGACAAAGATCGATTTATTACATGGTATCTATGCATAAACAACACATAATATATTTCATCGTTTATCACAACCACAATATCGTTCGTTAATTGAAATCTTTGTTACATCTTATGCAATTTATTATGGCAAAACGTTTGCTTTATTTAATGATAAGAAACATTCATGTGTATTAGAAGATCAAAAAAGGTCTTGTTCAACTTCAAGTATATGATCGTAAGAACAAGAAGTCAAATCCGTTCACAATATACTAAATATTATTTAACGTAAGTTAATATTTTTCATTGAAACATCTTTATACTTGATAAGGTTTTTAAATAATAAGAATGAGTAAAAATCAATAGTAAGCGTATTTATGCTCCTATCATAGTTCAAAGTAGAGATATTAACAGAACGATTTTCTAAAACAAAAAATTGACGCATTAAAGAATGCTTTTTTCTGTCAAATTCTGTAGTGCAAAGAGGATATTACAAACGTAAATTCTACATAAAAGCTCAACTGTTGACACTTATGTATTAAAGGTATCAACAAAACAGACGTGATTAATCAACAATAAGAATAAATGATGCGTTAGAGACAAAAATTAGCAAAGAAAATAAGTAGTTTTAATAATTTAGTAACAGCGTTCTCACTAGTCTCATAAACAAAATCTTTTCCACTTCGTTCAAATTGATATCTTTCTTTTGTTAATTAAAAACTAGTCGAAATGCTTGAGAACGAAGGAATAAGATCGTAATTTTCTTCCGCAAACGATAAAATGAATATCATGAAAATAATCCACAGATATAGAATCGGTAGTTTTAGTTTTGCTTGAGGTAGTAGAATAAAGAAGCAATGAATGACGCTTACACTTCTGTTTTTGTTATAAGAATTTTGTTTCTTCATTTTCGTTTGTAGTACTTTTATTGGACTACTCGTCGCTCCGCCAAATACGATGTCTGTACTACTTCCTTTTAGCCTTCCACGTTCGGCGACTAATGATATTGAAAATGCATGTTAATATTGAATATAACTGTTTCAAAAAATATTCCATAGAATTTTTATATCGATGTCATTTGTATCGTTTAGTTGGCACGGCTTACAGCCTCGTGAGTCACTCCTGAATCGTAGGGTTTGGAAAGTTCCTGTTGTGAACATTCAAGATCGAAACATTATAAATCAGGAAGCACATTAAAAATCAAATATCTCGTACTTTTAATAATTCATGCATTGAACCATCACACAAGTGAGTATGAATAAAATCAGTGGATGGGAATGTTGATAAAGAGAAGATTCATATTTTATTCAGAAAGGACAAGAAAATAAACGTCGTCAAATTATGATGATGAACACGATGAAGCATTAGTTTCATACGTAGCACAAATTGAACATTTACACATACATGATGTAGCTTTTACTTCAACGATCACAAATATTAAATGAATTAGAAACACGTTTACAAGCATTTGCTGATTACCTTCAACAAGAATAACAAGTTGCCACAGTACAAAGAGTTAAAAACAACAAATATCACATGGTATTATGCATTAAAAAACTATACATTTTTTTCTTTTGTGTCTGACGTTTCATGGTGTGTTTGTCTTATAATACGAATGATGGTACATATGAATATATAATTTGAAACAGAAGCAGTCAGTAAAAAATAAAAATGCATTGACAATCAGTGCTTCTGTATTTTGTCTGTAAAATGTTAGAATTACCTAGAATATTGTATTATCCAATGATACACAAGTTTCTGTTCACACGAAATATAAATTATTCTAGGATTGTCTAACTGTTGAAGATAGAACATATTCTGCATGTTTACGTGTTGGCGACATCTCTTTCTCTTGCACTATACAATACGATATATTCACCAGAGAAACCATGCGAAGGTTTGTCAAAACAATTTTTCGACTTTCATCGCCTTGACAAGTAACGTAAGTATTGCGACAATAAAATAATAATCGATTTATTAAATAATGCGATTTACATTGGTTAATGATATTGAAAATGATTAGTATGTGTTTGATTACTCACTGATGAGATTGCATAACATATTCTCAGTGTTGTTATTTTTTATTGTCATGAATCATTGTTGATGTTGAAGAATAACAAATCTTGCTCTTCGTAATGAACTTGGTGAAGGAATATCAGGTGTATCATGATGATCTTTGGATGGATTTAATAAAGTAGCAGAAGGTGCCCACGAACCGTAATAGGATAGTGAAGAAGATTCAGAACTATAACCGTCTAACATTATCTAAAATAGAAAAACAAAACAAGATAACATTTTTCTATTAATCAATTTCTTTATTACTTGTTGACTCCGTTGTCCAGGTTGAACTTTATTTAACCGATGAAAATTGAACACGACTTTAAAAAACTGATTATTGGTCTCAACTAATCCAGACAATTAGATGCAGAATTAGGACAAAAAAAACGAAGTTTTACTTGTTTTATGGATCGATAATTCTAAATGAAAATGAAAACATTATTTTTTGATGCAATGATACATATCATAATACCAACAATAAACATGAAAATGATATGATTATACATAGCAAAAAATAATGTTAGTCATGATTTTCTCTTCAACAGAAAAATAACGAATGAATTAATTTCAGTAATAAAATCGGACCAATTGAATGCCACAAAAAATAATCATAATATAAAAAGAACAACAGTAAAATAGATTCATACTGATATGGAACCTAAAATAATCATCAGCAAATAATATGCTAGTAGGTGCTATACAAGTGTCTCTATAAGAGCAAATGTATATTCAAATAATTCCATTTTCACGATACATACAATCTTCACTATTATATGATTGCTACAATATTCTTCTCGTTACATCAGTCAATTCACTACTTATAGAAACTATCTAAATGCATAAAAACAAACTGATTGAATATAGTTTAGAAAATCTTTCTTACAATAATTAATAATTTAGTGTTAAGTCGATAAAAGCGACCATTTAACTTTATGACCCATTGTTTATTTATATGAATCAGGGAAACAAAAGCACACATAAGGATCAACTAGAGAATTTGAAGTAAGTTGCATTACACAAGATAATGGCAACTAGTGAGAAAGAGAGAAATACAAATCATGTGTAGTGAAAATGTTTCTCTATGTTTCATTCGTTAGTATTTCGATGGTACATGTTAATTCGATATGAATTGAACAAGAAAACGTTTGAACGACAAAAAATGTATCGATGGATAAATATGTCACCAATATGTGTGTTAGGCTTTTCTTCATGTTACTTAGGATGGAGTTCAGATATTGCCCTACGAGTACGAGAGATCTTTATAGATTTTCCTAAAGCAACTATATGTATATTTAGTAATTAACATAAAACATGTATTAGAGAAACTGACTCATTTCTCATTGTTTAGTAAACATATTTTCAGTAACGCACGCTGTTGCTTTTGTGTTCTTTGATGCGAGAAAATACAAATACTATCGATGCTCGTAGAAATTAAATATTATTATTTAGGTTAAAAAATGTAATTGTCTATATGCCAGTGAGGACATGCATCCGTTTCAGGTCTAGCTGGCTTACTGGAACAAGCATATATAAATAGTTATATTAAAATGCACACTGAACTAGACTATTTAAACAAACTTCCGTTATCTTCGTAGAGGTGCATATTGATACTTTGTAAAAAGTGAATAGATGCATCTAATAATGAAAAATAGATTAAAATTTATGTCTACACTTTCGATATTTTTCAAAAAACAGTCGTTGACGTTTGTGTTAGTCAATACTTTGACCTATATGAACTGTTTTCTTACAGATAAAAACTACCTGCTTTATATTGCTTTACAAATATATCCTTGTTCTCTGAAAGATTCATTTTAATACGCCGAATCGACCATTCAATAATAGAAAATTTCAATTTCCCTCATCAACTCGTATTTTATTTGTATCTATCCCAATAAATATTTCAGATGCATAACGTAAAGAAGTGTGTCTTGTACTCATTATTTTCTTTTTGAAAGTAAATTAACTTACGAATATTCGATTGTCTACAAGAAATGCAAAACCGTACTTCGAAACATTTTTATGCCTGAAAAGTACTATTCTCTCAGCTTTGGTGGAAAGAAAGAATATCGAAATGAGTAACAGTGTCACCTGTGTCCCCAGATCAAACAACCGAATCGTAAGATCTTGCATGATCGGGTAAAATCAGATGAAATCATGCAAAAGCTCATAAAGTCATTTTTCGTCGGATCTGATAAGACATACCGCCTGGTTCTTTCACCTGGGTTGACATTTTTCATTTTCCACAATTCTCTTTTCGATCAAAGTTGGGAAAACTCATGTTAAATGGGACGACATCTATAATGCTCATTTTTCATTGATGAAATGCATTCATCAATGTGTGCATCATCTTTTGTATGTTTCTTCGAATTCTAATTCTTATTCTATCACTGTTGGATTGTATTCAACAATCAGAATCTACAATGATAGCAGAGTATCCATGATCTTTGTAACAGTTAACTGACACTGCTTTGAAATTTTTTCATAGAAGCAAGATGAGGATAACGTACACTTTACTTACTCAGTGTATGTAAACTTTGAGCTTATTAATCTTGCAATTAGTAATCATAAGCCATATACTCCAAATGTCTTGCTAATCATTTCGTTTGTGAAGACATATAATTTATCTTTCAACTTATTTTTTTCTGTTGTCATGTCTACAGATTTTCTGACAATCGATACGTCTATAATACATAGAATAGTTTTTTGTTTAAAATGCAGAATTTACAAGAAGGTAAGATTATGTTTTTATTTCATTATTGTTTTATGCTTTCTTGAAATTATGCTTGAAATATTAGCAAAAATAATCTTTTATCGAATGTAGTCAAGTATTCTATGTAGTTTATTTTCGATTGAAATGATTTTGATGCATACAAACGAGAAAAGCCATCTCTATCACAAACAATTAACTATTCATAACTTTACCACTTTGTGCTATGTCATCTAGAAGAACAATATCATTCAGTATTTCGATTGGACATTCATAGTGTCGTTAATCTTTTCACTTCAGATTTCTGTTTGGAACGATGCCTTTGTTTCGTACTTAGTTAGAACTAGAAAAAACGAGTATTCATTCGTAGTAAATCTTTCCGAATAAAATAACACTTTGTTTCCAAGACAATAGGAACAGTTTATAATGACAAAAAAATCTCTTTCATTTACCATCTTTTCTATTGTCAACAGGTACGTTTAATTGATTGAAGAGTTTTAATGCATGATTTACTATTATTTCGACTTTGATCAAAAGTAAAAATATTGAAACTGAGGTGAAGATTTTTACACATTTTCTCCTTCTGAAAATGAATAAGCCAATCAGTTAAGTTGAATTGAGCGTTAGTTATTAAAAAAAAAGAAGAATAAAGATATGCATGTGACTTTTCGAGAATACAGTAAGAACAAGCAATGCTATTGCATATACTTTAACATATGCACAAGCATCTATTCATCATAACATCAGCCACTATTGATCGTGCAAGAATGATATTTTTATCCAATATGGTTCGAAACAGCTTTTTAAGAATCTTCTTATTTTATCGCTATAAAGTTTACCTCTTTGACTAGAATTTCAACGTTTCACATTGTGATACATAGTGCATAATGAAAAAAATACATTACTACGAAAAAGTATCATATGTAGACTTGCCATTAGAAATGTCAGTCAAGTGCGAAAAGTCGCCCATCACATATTTGTGTTTTCAGATGGTTCTATTTTGTTTTCTCGTAAAATAAGTAATTTCGTCATTCGCATGTTTGGATTATTGTCGGGCTATCTTGTTCAATGTAGATTTTACAACAAAGACAAACAAACTGTGCATTGTTGTCATTTCTTCAGAATGATGAACAGGAAAAACAAGATGAAGAATAGTTGCCATTTCTTATCAAGTTTAGCATCTTGTTTCTGTTCCAGCATTATAAAGAAAAGAAAACGATGCATAGTTGTTTTTATTGCAAAATTTGCAACGAAGAAGATAACCCGATGATAATCGAAATATTTCAATGAACAAGTTATTTGCAAATAATATGAGACGAGTATAGAATCAATTTCAAAACTTCAAAATATTTATGCATTACTATTTATTGTTACTAAATCGAAAATTCGTACTGAGACTTGAATAAGATAATTTACTCGATTGTGGCATTCATCTATACAGTTTGTTTGAACAGTATGACAACCATTTTTTGACTGTGACATGTTAGACAACATAGGGTAGTCAGAATGGAACCGTCCGCTTTTTAAGATCGGTAAGTTTTTGTTCTTGCTTTTCAAATTATTTTTTGAATAAGATAGTAACACGCACAATGCTTTCTTCTTCTGTAACATGAAAAACGCAAAAGTAAAGTTCTAAAGCTGACATCCTAGCTTTTTGAAAAGAATTGCTCTCTACGATGAGTTTTACCGAAATAGGAAAGAAAGAAATGCTTACTATGCAACTTTTTTGTCATATGAAATGAGCTGTTATTTGACCTAAATTGAAAATTCTTTTTATGATATCAGAAGTAAATGTTAAATAGAAGCTGGAGTCTGAAAATGCATAAAACTTGTGTAAAAATTTGTTCATCTGTTGATTCACTCAACTTCGATTTCATTTATAGTCTTCTAATTTATGACGGTTCATATATTTCGAATCAGTGTTTTTCTTTGTAAACGAACAGTTTCATTTTAGTAACTTGCTCTTGTCGACATGCTGATTAGTTGCACGACCGATTGATTTACTTTTTGTTGATAGAAAAGAAATCTTACATTTCTCTTTAGTTTTTAATCATAGATAATTTTATTTTTATTTTTTAAGCATAAATATTTTTGTTATGTGTATTGTTTTTTGTAGAGATCAATTAAAATAACCTCTAATAATCATAAAAACTCGTTTTCACAGAATATCTCAGTATCAAAATCGTGGTCGATCAACTTGAGAGTACTGAGCAGAACACCACATTCATTTCAAATGATAATGCAATCCCTTGCGAAAGACGACGACATTAAGTTGGTATTCGAAGAGACTTCCTTTAGAAGTTGATAAGAAGCAATATTTTGATTTTGATAAAATATAATTTATAAAACAAAAAGTTGAAGTCAAACAAAAGTACTTCTATTTATCAATGATTATTAAGGTGAATCCTTTTAATTTATCGTAGAATCGTTTAGTTTCATATCAATTTGAACACATTTGAGCCATTTTGTGGAAGAATATAATAATAGTGCAGGGAAGATCGTCGTGTCTTTATTCCTTTAAAAACAATTAAACTCTAACAGAAGATCATACTTTGCACCCAATGTTTTAGTAACAGAAAGACTTCCATTTATGTTAGCATAAAAACTGCGTTCGTTTAGAGAATCTGTTTAATAAATGTCATGCTGTTTAGCTAGTTGTCACAAGATGGTCAGAATGAACTATAGAGGGGATCAAGAGGAGTCAACTCATATCACGCTCAATTTTCTCCTGATGACACTAGTAGTATTCATTTGATAATTTTAATCTCTCTTCATGCTTACTATGAAGATGATTCCCGACTAGAGTCATGCGTCGGGTATTTGCTCAAATTCAGACAAACGGTAAGTAATAAAAATCGTATGTTAAGATCAAACTCTTTTTCGATATGTAGATTCGATAGACTGGTCCCTCAACCATCGACAGACACATTTTGATAGTAAAGGCTTTTTATTCTTACGGTTCTGCACACGGCATAATTGCAAACATTGTCAGATCGAGTTTAAACTCCAACAAAACTACTTTTCTCTAGGTTTTCATTCTCTGATACTACGGAGAAATTGTTCTGTTTTAAGCAAGTTAGCCATTATGAAGTTAGAAGACTTTTGAATCACATTTGTATTGCAAAAAAGCACTTGAACTAGATGATATCTTGTTACTATTTACTTCAAGTCGACAAAGCATTCGACACAGAGCTCTCCTAGACAAATCACTTGTGTTCAATAGCAACGTCAAATACTTAATGTCATTTTTGCAGTTAATCGCTTGTTATTTGAATTTTCTCTTATTTTCACCATTTTGTTGCAGATTTCTTCTTATACCATGGTGATTTAATACTTTTTTTCTATAATCTTGTTCACAACATTAAATTAGAATGCGAATACGTTTTGGTATCAATGAAAACAACGAAATATTAGCTATTGTTTATGCTTGTAACTTGATGTGTCTCACCATTGTACAAACCAGAAACCTACATATTCTAGAGACATCTCAAGAAACAGTATTCAAGCTGCGTATGCCCAATGTGACATCAATTTACAGAAACTTATATTGCGTTATACCGTACAGTGAGTGTCATTGCTCAAGTGTATCAGCAGAATACTGTCTTACTGATAAACACATTAAAAGAAATCGCAGTCTACCGTTAATTGCAATCGTATTACAAGTTTTCCTATTTCGAAAACTTATTTTATCGATTGAAGATCCAATATATTCTCTTGTTTATATTTCGTGGGCCGTTGCTCTATCGATCTTTATTGGTATTTTTGTTTTAACTTCTAGAAATAGTTGTTATCTACCCAGCATAGCTGGAAGTTTTAGTATTATTACTTATTTACTTTTTGCCTTTGTTTGCTATGGAGTTCATTGTGCTTCTCCACCTGACCCATTACTTCGACAACATCGCTACCTTATTTAACGTGCAACAATTGAAAAGAACTTATCATTAAATTCAATCTCAGCGAGAATAGCTTTCATCGTCGATAGTTGATTTATCTAATGTAATCGAATGTTGCTGTGTCCTATGATCTTTCATTTATCCTTTTGTTGTATATGGTATCGCTTACTATACATATTGCTAATAAAATGTGTGTTCTTTCTCTGTCGTGATTTAAATCTGTTACTCTAAAACAATAAAATTTCTAGTTTAATTAAACTACATGATAGATCAATGCTTTTCAAAAAAGTTAAAAAGTATTTTCAGATTTTGGCATGCATGCTATGTAACAGTGGCAACGGAACGATCTCAGTCTAGGATATGCTAGAGTTTTCAACCAAGGCAGGTGCACCAATGTAAAAATTAGAATTGAAATCAGATTAAAATCGATTGAAAAGGATTAAAAACTGATGATAGTTATGTGGTTTTAATAAGTTCTCTAGGAATCTTAATCGAACCTAGCTGAAAAATTAAACTTTCATTGATTATTGTCATTAGTTCCAATTAGAGACGATTAATAGTTCGTAACAAAAATTGATATCATTGATGCACATGGATCAAAATTACGTGAATAACTTCATTTATCATAAAGACTAGATGGTATTCGAGCTTCGTTCGTATACGAAATGCGGTGCGGAGCACACGCCAAGTATATGGAAAACAAATTGATATTTCGTACAAAACATAGGTCTTGTTTGAGAATCCATTATATGAAGTTTTTTTAATGGAGACATCGGTTCTTGTGAATAAGTCCTTTTTATTCGAAGAAATATGAAAATTTACAATTCGACCGATGTTAAGACTTGAATAAGAAAAGAAAATAGTAAAATATCATCAGCCATGACTAACTTTATAACTACCAAAACTCTATAGAGATTTGTTAATTTGTTCTTAAAGAACGATATCGATTGATTCTTTAATTATCTAAATGACTCATTGATGAAAATCAGCTATTTTTCATCTGTTGCAAAAGAGTGGTGCCTAACTTTTGATGTTTCGATTTTCGTTTTAATCATCTCACAGATAAATTTGATCAAAATCCTCTTTTTGGGGCTCAATTTGTAAGGGAACGGAACCACCTAGAAACTTTTTTCAAAAAAATAGTACATATTCGATCTCGATTCTTTCATGTTGCGTTTCAACGCCGATTTCCTAATCTTCGGTCCTCGAGATCATCGCGTCACAAGTTGCTAAGATTTTACGCGTACGCCAGTAGGAAAGAAAGGAACGAAGAAAGTAAGCTCGCGCAGGACTACATAAATGCTGTGCTTCGCACCGCATTAAAAACTAGATGGTATTCGAGTTTCACGCGTATACGAAATGCGATGCGAAGCAGGAATCTGAATTCCCTACGAAAAATCTTCAATTGCGAGAAATCTTGAATACTTTTTATGTAGCCATAGTGGTATTCATCACTCTGAAAACTCTATTCTTACTTAGTGATTCAGTCTGAAATATCGATTTTCAATTTTCTAGTGTTGTAAAATGTTTTATTGCCCAATACGACCCAGGTCGTAGAGGTACGGTGGGAAACGACCGGAAAGCACGAGAAATCGCTGCAACGTGAAAGCAGTATTCAGGCCGGAAATTACCGGATTTTTTTCCTGTGCTTTCCGCCTGGAAATCGACCGGAATACTGCTTCCACTTTGCCGGGCTTTCCGAGCAGATACGGTGACTTTTCTGCATCTTTTCAGTCGGTTCCTATGGTATCCGCCCTCAGGAGTCATTGACCTGGGATTATTTAAATGAAATGATTATTGATTATTTTGCAAGATAGATTCTTTTCGAGTAATAAATCTCATATAAATGAACCTTCTCAGTAAGAACTCTTCGTTTTTTATGGGAGTCGTCCACTAAGGCGAGGTCTGTTGAAAGCATTACGTAAATGATTCTTCTAACAAAAATAAATGTTTCGAAGAAAGAGAATGCCCAGGTGAATGCATCTGATAACAAGGGTGTGTGGATGAGAAGAAGATGTTCATCGAAACACCCACACTTTCAAAATATGATGTTTAATTATAATATTTTACATCAATTTTTCTAAACTCCACCAGAGGCACCAAAAACAATTAATTCGATTCATGTGTAGTTCATAGATAACATCAATTCTTTCATCGTTATTGAAATAGTTTCTTTCGATCGTTTAAATTGTCGGAATATGATTGAATAGGATATGATTTGGTTTACATATATTTTTCTTGCTTGCATCTTTAGTACGTATTTATACATACGCACAATTAAAAGAACAAAAAGAAGAGAGCACAAGAATAAACAAACAAACACACTGATACACACAAATAAATTCATAGAAATCAAATGAGAAACAAAAAGAAAGAAGAGCAAAAAATATATTAATTCAATATCGTTCTTATTTCTTCTGAATTCTTATTAATTTGAGTTTCAGACTCAGGTTCTTGTCTGACAGTTAAGTATGGAATTTCTTCGGAAACAGCTTCTGTCTTTATTGATTCTTCTTGTTCGTCCTTTGGTATTTGTTCAATATTTTCAACCGGTTTAATATCTTCTTTCTTTACAAATATTGTTTTAACAAGACCAAAAAGTGACATAGACGCAGTCGAATTTGGCTCTACTGAATCATCCAGTGACGATGAAGCTTCAATTTCATTCTCGTCATTATTAGTTTTTATCGTTGTTCCAGGTTCATTCGTTTGTGTATCACATGAGAGATTACTATTTCCGTCCATATCGAGTTTTGAGGACGACGGTGTATTACCATCAGAACATAAATCAGTTGTCGGTACTTGCTCACTGGTCGTCTATTAAAACAAAGTAAAACAGTTCGTTTGATGAAACAGTATAGACTTTTTATTGGTACTCAATACGCTTGCTGTAGATTTATTGTAATATCACAAGAGAGAAATTTTAAGTTGATGAAAGGTTACCATGATGTGGGTTAAGTAAAATGACAAGTCTATCCCGATGACACGAATAGGTCGCGGAAAATAGGAAATAGTAAGGAGATACGGTTTACGATATTGAAAGTTAACTATAGCTAAAGCGAGTTGAAAATAATTCAACAGAAAAAAAATCGTTCGTTTGACTGAACACAATTTCAATCTGATTCGAGATTCGTTGAATAAATCTTCATAGAAAATTTGATGCCGACAAATATCTATTACACTATAGTACTTAGCAATGTGGCTTGTTATGAGAATATAGTGCACAGCACGATGGCATAGGACATGAATGGGTTAAAAAATTGACGAATAGGTAACTTGTCTTAAATCATACTCGCACTAGTCATATTTATCATAAAACGATCCACAAAGACTACTATCACACACTATGTTTTATTTTAGAATGTATGCGATTAAACAGTGTATCGACTTTTAAAGCAATTTCGAGGTTTGAGAACCTCCGCAAAATCTTCAGTTGTTTTTAAACTCGTATCGAATAATCTGATTTTTACGATCAACTAGATCGATTTTGGAAATAAAACTCTCTTACCTCATGTCTAACATCTTGATAACAAATTGGATGATAAGTTTTTCCATCAATGCGAATAGCATCTTTCAAATGCCATTCTTCACGGTTGTCATCAAAAAAGTTCTCAAATGGATCATAACATACGTAACAACGCTAAACAGAAATAAATCGCATGTCTCTTTCCTTTTCAATAAAATTATAATAAAAAAAACAACAACAACTTACATCATCATCACCATCGCCATTTCCAGTTGCTGGACAAGAAATAATACCATTTGATGATATGATATTTTCACCATGTACTAAATGATTATTATCTTTTACTGGTCTTAATTGTGTTGATAGAAATTTTCCCGTTCGTATTTGTTCTTCAATATTTTCCTCGTATATTGTCCATTCTTGTACAGATGAATACCAAATGCGACTTCGTTGTAATAATGTTGCCGTTTGTGTACCTAATTCTTTTTCGTGTTTATTTTCTAGATAATGCCAATCAAGATGATGTGTATAATAACTTTTTTGCTTCGCAGTAAAACGAAGACCACATATACGGCATTGAAATTTTCCAACATACAGTTGTTGAACTATGCCGATGTATTTTCTATGTAGAAAATAAGTAAATACTTAGTATTCCACCGAAAAATTTTCTTACTTTTTTAACATATTAATATTTGCATCAATAAGTGATGGTACCGGAGCTACATTTTCTTCATCGAAATTACGTGTACGTGCTGCTCGACCAGTAACTGGATCATAGCGTAGTCGTTTATTATCTTCATTAGGATAGAGAAGGTTATTATGACCACTATTACTTGCTTCATGTAGTCGTTTCATGGGTGGACTTTGACAAGCAGAAAATATCTGCTGATCTGATGATTGTTGTGTTTGAGATTGAAATGCATTTTGAACAAGTGTAAACGACGGCGGAGCAGGTGGTAATGGTGGGATATATGGTAAAAAATTGTAACTCGATGTATAAGAAGATGGCGCACCAACTGTTGCCAAAATTTGCATTACATGGCGATATGCATCATTACCAAAGCCTGAAAATGGAAATGATGAATTTGAAAATGTTGTTGACAAGGAAGACTGTTGTTGCGGCGTTGACATTTGCAATGCATGTTGTTGAGCAAATTGAAGAAGTTGCTGTTGAAATGGATGAGTTGGTGCTGTGTTTACAGTTGATGAGAGAGAATTTGTTTGAGTTACTAGCGTATGATGATTAGTTTCATTTAATAGATTTGCACCACTAGGCGAAAGTAAAGTTCGATTATTATTAAGTTATAATAGAAAAAAAACGTATTGAGTGCATTCTTAATCTTATAGATCAAAGTCTCATTCAGATGTTCTATCCCCGACATATTTGCTCTGCGTAATTTTGATTTCTGAAGATAATTAAGTAAACTGATGCATTAATATTAGCTGAAAAGTTATAGGATTATGTCAATAAACAATCTGCTTAGAATTTACAATTAGATTTTTTTTGAATAAGCTGAATTCAAATAAAATAAATGTGGAAACCTCGGATTTCGTCCGAGCGTTATGTGTACTGCAAAAAGTGCATGGGACATATGAGTCATTCTAGAATGTCTGAACACCAAAATCGTCATGAGAAACTAGGCAATTTGATTTCTGGATGCAGTTTTTGTGCATTTTGAGACATTTTTCAGGCGATATTTCGTTAGAAAGCTGCGATTTAGTTCAAAACTAATATCAGATTCAGAATCAGCGTTAAAAACTGAGTCGATTTATACATGTTGTGAATAATTCTGAGAAAAATTTGTTTTTTGAAAAAAAATCCCTGTACTCCTCCTCAGGGATGGCCTGGTCAAAAATGACAATTTTTTCGATAACTCAGCCATTTCTTGACGGATCTTTCTTATCTTCGAACTCGACCGAGATATTCATGAGATTGAACTGTGTGGAAAATTTCATCACGATCTTACTCTCCTTTCGAAAGTTACCGTGCCTACGGGCGGCTGGACGGACACACTGACCGATTCTAGAGTGTACTCACTTTTTGAGTACACAAAAACAGTCATTATGTACTAATCGATTTCATGAAGAAATGCCTGCTAGTCTTACTATCCATGAGTTCTCTTGAACTAGTTTTATACCGAAATTAATTGATTGAATTTTGATTTTATTAATAAACGAAAAAAATACTAACTTTTGTTGCGCAATAAGTCGTTTAACTTCACTTTCAAGTATATTTTGTAATAATTTCAACGTTGCTTGATATTCTTCTGGTGATAGTTCTTTTGATTTATATTTTTGTTCAGCAAGTCGAAGACATTTTGAATTTATTTCAAATATACTATCGGCATCAAGATTAGTTGTTGTTTGTTTCGTTGTATCATCCGTAGCTCGATAATCTTTATCCGTACCACCAAATAATGCTTCGCTAAAATCACAATCATCTAGATTTTTATATTATTCACATGGATATAACTTACACATCATTTTCAGTTCTCCCGTTAGTAATATTATTCATTGATTTAATGTTAAATCCGTTGAGAGCAGCCAATGATTGTTTGATAATAAATGGTTCATCATCATCATCGTCATCATTATTATCATGATCCATTGGATTTGGTTCTTCATCTGTATCGTCTTCCGAGGATAATTCTTGGTCATTATTTGAAATTGCTTGCACAAGTATGGCAGCACGGCGTCTTAAACGTGCTGATGGTCGACGTTTTTTATTTGTTTTTTTCTTTTTCCCAGATAATTTTCTTATTTTTGATTGTTGTTGACCGTCAACACCTATATCAAGTACATGTGCTGTTTCTTGACGAATTTTTTCCATTCGTTCAATTGGTATCATTTGATAGGTATCACCTCGTGATGCAAGTTCAGATATTTTCGGTGGTGCGATTGATATGGGAGGTTGAATTACAGTTCGTGTACGAAATGTATTTGAATCAGGATCTTCTTGTTGTAAGCGTAAGATTTGTTGAGATATATCATCAGTTATTGGTTGTTGGTCGGTAGAAGCCATAGAAGATGTTCCATTCTGTAAAAATTGAAGAAGAAAAAAGTTGTTTTAAAGAAATTTTGCAAAAATTCGATTCATTTTGCGATCGTATCTGATTAAAAGCAGCTCATTTTGATTGACACAACAGGTAATATTAATATCATAGCTAAGAAATTATGAGATGCAATCGAACGTTACCTCTTCTCTCGGTACACTGAGTTGAAACATATGTCATCTTCTTTTATTGTTCAAGTATATCATCGCATCCGTTTAGGCCTAATTCATTTAATCTATACATATTTCATAGAAGATTGTTCATCGTATGCCTACATTTTCTCTAGCTAAAATGGATTTTTTCTACTCCTAGCATAGTTCAAACGAAGACATTTGAGGGTACCTCAGTAAGCTTTCATATATTTACATGCTCAGTATTGCCAGAAAAATCAATAGTCTTAAATTAATCTTTGTTTTCTAAATAGGTTAACAATGGAATTTTCTACAAAAATATATGATCGAACTCGCAAGGAACATTACCTATGTCGTAAAGTGTCTTTTTGTGTAGTCAAAAACAAAGAGTACACTATAGAATCGGTCAGGGTGTCCGCCCGTTTATTCTATAACTCTTCACAATTATATTTGATTGAGCTGAAATTTTGTGCACAGAATTGTCTCATCAATATCTAGGTCAAGTTCGAAGATGAGAAGGATCCTTCAAGAAATGGCTGTTATCGAAAAAATTGTCATTTTTGATCAGACCATCCCTGAGGGGGAGTACAGGGATTTTTCAAAAAGAAAATTTTTTCTCAGAATTTTCCACAACATATATAAATCGAATCAGTTTTTAACGCTGATTCCGAATCTGATATTAGTTTTGAACTAAATCGCAGTTTTCTAACGAAACATCGCCTGAAAAATGTCTCAAAATGCACAAAAACTGCATCCAGAAGTCAAATTGCCTAGTTTCTCATGACGATTTTGGTGTTCAGACATTCTAGAATGACTCATATGTCCCATGCACCTTTTGCAGTACACATAACTCTCGGACGAAATCCGAAGTTTCCACATTTTTTCTGGATAATTTTGCCGTAATAAATTTTTTTTGAGGGTATTTAATTAATTTAAAAAAATAATTTTTGAAACGTGAAACTCAAGGCAGAAAACAATGCATTCTTAACTATTCGGATAGCCTGTACTTAACGAGTGTATTATTTTCTTTACGTTACATAGTCAAAATTCTACGATGACACATACTTTTTGAAGGAAATTTGGATTAAGATGAATATTTTGTAGAAATGGAGCTGGATCAGGTACTCGAGCGGTGATCGGCCATGCCGGATCGATATCATGTGTCCTTGTATCAAGATTATACAGTGATAGATTAGTAAAAAATGGTGGCCATGTTTGACGAAGTTTAAACATCGATGATCGAGTACGTTCGTCAACCTGGACAATAGATTTAAAATTCATTTAGAAAAAATTGTTTTTTCGATTCGAACCTTATGAAAAGCATTAGAAAAAAGTACTGGTAATTTAGTTTCAAATAATTGAACATAAACTGATGAACGTAAATTTTTCACTATTGAATCGAGTACATATAATGTAGGTAGAACATGTTCACCTTTTGTCTAAAAACAAAAAAAAAACAATTTCTATGAAAAGAAAAATCAATTCTATTTTATTATCTACTAACTTCAATTATACGTTCTTCAATAGCGCGTACAATTTGTGGTGCATTATGCATTTTTTCTTCTGCAAGTATTGTTAAAAAATTAATCAATGGTTTGCTATTCAGTTTTAGATCGTTTAATGCGACTTTAAAATCTTGGTAATCATCTTTTCCAGCCATATTTGCATACAAAAAGACTTAAAATAGATTGGTTAAATCTTTAAAGAAAAACAAATAATCAAATATGATTACGTAAACCAATGAATATTCAAATGATTAATAGAAAACGTTTTCTCCTGTTTGAAAAACTGGCAAGAGACAAAACAAAGCAAAATCTGGTTATTTTGATCTGAAAATATTTTTCTAAACACAAACGAAGGATTATGAAATCGAATTTAAGTACAAACATTAGTTTAATTAATTTATCTATCTAGAACTAAAATTAGAAAAAAGATCAGCATCGATATTTTCTTAAGCAAAAGACCTCTAGATTGAAGAAAAAAAATTACGACATTCTTTTTTTTATCTCAATATTACAATCTTCATGAATACAATTTCATAATAGTCAAAACAATGAAATCATCTCATATTCAATTAATTACCTCAAAATTTAGTTTCGGTCTAATCCAAAAATCTATGGAGCCGAAATCAATATAGCCCATTGTCTAAAGCATTCAGCTAGAGTTGAAAGGCAAATAGAGAACGACAATATGAGAAAAGCGGCACATTTATCAATATGATTTGTTTATTTCAGAGGTCGGTGATAGCTGAGGAAGTTTTGTTGATACTATATCGATCTACAAGTCAGAAAGAGCATCTAACAAGTCACAACAACAGTTCAAGTTGTACATAAATATTGTATTAGACTTGAAAAGCCGATTTAATTATTGCTTATCAAAACTGAAATATTCGGTGGGTTTCGTTCTTGAGCTGCATATTATTCTATATGACAGATAATCGAGCAACACAGACATATCAGCGATATGGTAGCAACTATAAAATCAATACAAGATAGTCTTTGAACTTCCGAAGAATCAGTCTCTATTTCACTTAAATCCTCAGTAATACCATACAGGCAAAAAAAATTATCTTTCATCATTCAAATTTTGATTAAAATAAAAAACTTTTAACATTTTCTCTTAAAACAGTCAATCCTTCACTGAATTCAGACATTAATAAACACTCATAAGCTCGATTATGTATATATATATATATATATACCCTCTCTTAAATGAACAACAATTGAACCACCGATATACTCTTTTACCTGACCTATATTTTGCCAGATGGAACCCTGTTTTTTGCTGGAGAATATCGTCTAAAATTATAATTATTAAAAATCATAAAAATAATTAAATGATTTTTGGAACAAACTAATTGATATTCGAATATTTTTGTTTGTTCCCTTGTCTATATGGTTGATTTCATCGTTCTATGAACGATAAATACTTTACGTGGAATGATACATTGTATTATCACAAATAGAAACGCGAATGAAAGAGAAAAAGATAGAGTGGTTCGTTTTCTTTTTTAGTCTTATTCGTTTTTCATTGTACAAAAATAAACTAAATTTATTAAAGAAGTTCATAGTTGATCGACAGATTGATTCATCACAATCGTAGATAAGCCATCGCCTGGTTGGAAGTAGTTGAAAATGGCATGTAGATAGTCACTAGTAGAGAGTCTAAAGGAAAACATTCAATTGATATTTGTAGAAAAAGAATTTATTACAGAGAAATAACCTTTCTGAATGAATAGACTACTGTATTAATGAAGTTTTACAACAGTTTCCATTCTTCTGTCGACACATTGTTTAAAGCGATGATAGAAAAGTAATCAGAATAAATCTGCTGTTTGATATCAATATCATGAAAATATACACTTTCCAAGGAGATTCGGATATTTATTATCATCGAACATTGGCTAATGGCTAATCTATATTATTGTATTACATGATGAAGAAACTATTCTAATGGATAACCGTCGTTCGGCCTGGTATTTCACTGATTGTCCAGGTCTATTGTGCAGATAGAAGTCCTGTATCATTAACCATTTGTTGGTGACTTATGTCTGCTTAACTGAATTTCTGTATCCGACGAACAAAATCTTATCACTAGATTAATCTCGATGTTCTTAGAAAATCTTACAAGTTTCAAAAAGAGAGATTGCATGCTCGTAAAACTTTTCTAAGATGGTTACGTATGTTGAGGTATATGTTCAAATAAAATTTTCAGACCTGAAAGACTTTTATCTGTACAATGAGCGCAAATAATCAAAACAACGAAACTTTGTTTTTGCCTTTACACATGATAAGAGAAACAATTATAATTGCAGCTAATATATATGAGACTCATAATTATAATTACTATTTTCCTTTTGTAGAAGAAAAAATGAATATAACATAACAAGATAATCGAATTTATTTTTTCCATCATATTATAATAATTACAACAGAAAAGATCACGTATATTATGATGTGTACCTTTAAATTTGATGTTTCGAGCAAGGAGCCTTGATCAAAATACACAGCTCGATAATCGTTCGCAGCAATGGCTTCCTATCGAATTGACCCATCAAATTCATTCATTTTCAATCTATAACAGAGAAATATATTCTATCAGTTGATGCTTTTCGCTTCACTTACAACTTCGCTCGTTTCTTGCCTTTTTGACTTTCACCAAATTGTGTAAGACTTGACATTTCAATCACTGGAAAACATCGATCAAATTATACAACAAGAAAACTTAAAATAGTAATAATTGAACTTACTAATGTTTTTTAGACGGCTACATATCAAAATTGTCTATTGGATTGATTCGCCGGTTTTAACAAATACTATCTTCATTTTCACTGTACATAAATCATAATTTATTGAACTAATTTCTAATCGAATATTCCTAATGTTAAAATATCTGAAAACAATGTTGACTATTGCATCGAGCGCTTTCGCTACCAGGAAAAAGCTAGCATATGTTTAGAATTAGAACGGCGAATAAAAAACAAAATAAAAGATTGATGTTTTCATGGACAAATGAATTTATTTATTTCGAAATTATAGATGGCGCATTCGGATGGCCTTTATATAAATATTAAAAAAATATATAATGAAAGAACTGCAAAAAGTGCGCATAGAGTAGTGTAGCTGAAGAATTTATCAATCATTTTTAGTATTTTGAACCACAGGGATATGATGTACAAGACCTGTTTTTTTGTCGAGCGGTTGTTCCAATATCTATGAGAATATTTTATATGGATAAGTATACTATATAGAGACTGACATACTTTAGGTAACCCAAGAGTTATATTTTCTATTAATGGTAAACAATTACATTGATGACGTATTTCAAGTGCCCAAGAAATTTTTCTCTTAAGAGTTTCAGCACGTTTATTACTTGCTGGATGTGTCGAGAAGAATTCTGGAATTGCTTGTTTTTCTTCTAGCTCATGAATTTTTTGCCAAAATCTAACAGATTCTCGAATGTCATAGCAAGCCTGAAATGAATAGAATCCACGATGATGGTGTTGCTATTTGTAAAAACAGCTATTTAGTTTACTTTTGCCGCTAGCATAAGACCAACTTCATCAGCTTCTTCTTCCAAAGTTCGAGAATATGGTAAACGATTTGCGAATGTTAGAAATCGTTCAAATAAATAAGTCACGAAAAATCTTTGAAGTATCATAGAAATAGTTGATCTTATTTGAAAAATAATATTTAACATACGAAGCCCAATCAGATGGAAAGACAGACCAGATAATCAGCGATGCAAAAATCCCTATGGATACATAAATTAACAAATAAAAACTTTTCCTGATCGGTATTTTAACTAAAAAAGCTTCTAAGAACACTAATTCAACGTTTTGTTAAGTTTATCAAACTTATACGAGTAAAAACACGATGAACCTAGCCTGAATTAAAACAAGCAATTCATCAGGTGGATAGACTCTCCTTGCAAATGCAAACGCAACAGAAAGTGATAATATCTTAACATGACAACACTCGATCAATAGATATTTGTCTGACATTTCATCACAGACGTAAAGATCTTGTTGATAGATGCATTACACTTCACATGAGATATTTCTGAGAGAGATGAAATCTATATCGACAAACTCTTGACATAGACCAGTTAGTAGTCTATCTAATTTTCTTGTCTTAATTGTATCTGACGAAAGATACATGTATATACTAAAAGTTCGTTACAGACATCGTCTCAACAAAACGTATCATTCTGAATGACACCAGTAGAAAATACATTAATAGTTTGTATTTATTTCATGAATGATCTTGCAATGTTTCTAATTCGTTAATAGATTTTGAATTGAAGTAAAGATTTTGCTATTACAGATATACGTACCAAGGAAGTCAACTAATTGTAGATAAGATAAATTTTCTCCCTAGAAAAATTCCACTATAAGTATGTTTATTAAATTTTTTTTTGTTTTTTAACCCACCGAATGATCGAGAAGCGTATGCGAAATTTCATGGCCAAGAACAATGGCTAATTGATCTTCATTTGCTCTAAATCAATTCCAATTAATATATTGGAAAATGAAAACACTATAGACTTACACTGTCTGAAGCATTCCTCGAGTAACATAAATATCACCAGACTAGAAAGAAATGAGAAAAATCTTGCTTTCTATTCATTGATATCTAACATACCGGTAAGACGAATGCTACCAATGAAACAAACAAAACATTCACGTATTGATTTGTTCTATTATAGAAATTTCTTACCCTTTTGGTCATCAATATTCTATTTTAATTTGCGTTAAATTAAATAAACAAAATAATTTCTATTGGGAAAAAAACGCTTACAAGAACTCGGATGGTCCACTTTATACTTCGAACATTGGGTAAGTCGACATTAGCACTAATTATTTTTTTTGCTACTTTAGCTACCAGTTGAGTTTCTTTACTGTTTTCAGGCATCATGTGATTAGCATACGTCTTCGCGAGCTAAAAATATCAGAAATAATAAACATTCGCATTGAAACTATTGTGTCTAGAAAATAACTTAAGAAATTTCATATTGTGGATTTGATGTATAGTCATCAATGGAAAAGATCAATTTTGTCATATTTAATAAGGAAGATGAAGAGGTAATTGAACAAAATATTTCTTAATTTTGTAGGTCGTTTCAAGCATCCTACAACAGGTTGGTCAGATTTTTGGTTTTCTAATGATTATTTGACTTTTTAGAGGCCTGTAAATTAAGTGTAGACGAACTTGTGAGTAGGGAAAACTGTTTACAGTACAGTGAATGAGAAATAATTAGCTTGTTACAAGCTATTTGTCAACAATTTATATGCAAAATAAGCTCGATTTCTCCTAAAGCTCTTGATTTTTTAATTCATTTCGTCAAAAGCAGACGCGCCTTTAATTCTATGCAGAAATAACGGTATGAAATCAGAAGACAATAGTAATAAAATCCGACAAAACTTAGAATTTATATTCAGATAGAACACAAAAGCTCCTGAAAAATAAATTAGCTTATCATCGAATTGCTTTTTGAACATTTCTGAGAAAGACAGACAGTCAAATATAACTACATACTGCTTTCGTATTCAACCTTAGCATCCCTTTCTCGTATCTTGCATAATATTTCTTGTTCTTTGAAATGCAACTATATGTTGAAGTTCATAATAAGAAAATGAAGTTATTTACATTTAGAAAACAAGCTCAGCTACTAAACGTATCTCTCATCTTTTCGGTTCTAACAAACAGATATTGCATTTACAAATTGAAATCGATTCGAATGTGCTACTGTGCGTTTGTTTAAAATTGTGGTAGTGAAAAACGAACCTCTTCTTTTTGTAAATCACACAAATATTTCAATTGCTCCTCCGTCATCAACATATAACGTTTTCGTCCCGTTATAGGCGCTATTTGAATATGAGTGGAATAATGGTACTATAAATAGATTAAAAAGCAAAACAAATTTAGCAAAATATTTAAACAATTAAGTAAAATCATACACCAAAAGTAGATCCAATCGTTCCAAATATTGCAACATATTTATATTTATGTCGATTAAGATGTTGAAAAAAAATCGACCGTTTTTCTTCTGGTAGTCCTCGATACCATTTTCTTGCTGATCTTTAAAGAAGAATTGAAGATTATTTTTATTTTCATAAAAAAATCAAGATTCTGTATTCTGCACCTGCCAGTTAACCAAGCAGCACCTTTAAGTGCTGGTTTAAGAATTATCCATATCAACGGATGAATATGTCTTGGTGAACTTGTATGAAACTGGCGAACTACTAACTTTTGTCGAATTAAATAAGAGAAATTCATCAAATCTGGAACAAATAATATTAAGGTAGGATTTTGGTCACATACAAAGAAACAGAAAAAACCGACATTTCCCTTGTATTTTTCTCTCTATACAAATATTTTTTGACAATAACAGGCACAGATATAAAAAAATTACATCAGTGGTTTGTTATCACTTGGGTCAGATTTACATTCAAGATTGAAGGGCGGTATTCTAACTTCAATAAATGTTCCATCATCTTTTTCCATTTTGAATGTACTTTGCAAAACAAAAACAGAGATAAATAATTATTGGAAAGAGACACAAAATATATTCTTACCCCCACATATGACCACTTGATGCTGATAATGAAATATGAGATGAATATTGAAACGCAGGATATTCTTTTGACAATCTTGGTTCCTGTCCAACTACGCCTTTGCCACGTACAGTTTCTAATGTACCCGAGAGACTGAAGATACGCCAATGACGTTCACGTAATGTAACAGGCTCGTCGGGATTTAAGTTTTCAACGCGAATCGAATAACGCCACCAATGAACAGCTACACCTTGAGCTGATCGAGATCCCCTGTGTAACAGAAGGAAAACAAAGCAAGGATAAATCAATATCAAACAAAAAGTAGTTTTCATTTACATATAAAATGGAATAACAGTAACTCGTATTTGATGAGTCACATCTTTTGCTACATCGGATAATTCAAGCCATTGATGATGTCGTTCTTGCCACGATTTCAAATATTCACGTGGTACGAAATTAGGCGCTTGGAAAGAATATTTTATTAATTAGAATTAAGAGATAAATACAATCATACTTGTTTCAGAATCATATATGAGAAATTTATCAAATAGTTCATGTTCAATTGGTGTTCGTTCTGTACTCTAAAAGAACTCATATGAATTAAATCATTGATGAAGAATGATAATTCAAAAAACAAAAAAAAATAAAACATGCGCATCTCTAGTAAATCACTTTTCCTCAAGTTCTCTTTGGCATATTCCGGTAACATCAGTTTACTTTACATACCCTGAATTCAAAAACGAATTACTAGGTAAAAATTAGTGCACCCGACATGACATCAAAAATGGCAATGACCTCTGCTTCAGGCGTTCAGAAAACTAAAAATGATTACACAAGCAAAGAGTTGTTCATGTAACGAACTTAAAATAGTACAAAGTCTTATTCGGGAAATTCTAAGATGATTGTAATATAAATCTGTGGAGCCTCAAGAAACATCGATTTTTTTTGAGAGGGCGAGTTCTTGTTTCAGTCTAGTATTAATGAAAATTTTATCACAGACACGATTCATGCCCGGGGGTTTATCGTGGAGTTTGCGACCTGCTTTTTGTTTTGTTTCATGATTGGTGCTAAGATAACTCTTAAAAAGTCCGCGTGTCCCTTTTTACCTCAACTTTTATTTGTAAGTAGTACCTTTTTTCAAGATTTTGTTTTGATAAATATATTATTTCGAAAATATAAACGTATCAAGATATTGAGAAAATTCGATTGGATCAGAGCGCATCTTAATACGTATGTTCGCTATGGAAAGCTGTTAGAGTAATTCCTGTGGGATTAAATCTGAAACACGATAGTGCTGTTGTTGTTAATCACGAAAAGCTTCTTTCATTCAATCTATTTAAGGTTTATTTCTTTGCCATTCATTTCCTTAATCATCTAGAAGTACTCTAAGAGTTAGTTCATGTATATTTTAACGAGACATCACACTTAGACGCTTTGTGATTGTTTATCAATAAGGTCCGTTGAAGGTCGTGTGAGATCACAAGTATTTGTTGTGAAGGCCATTTATACTCGAAGACGTTTTTGACTGTAAATATAGAAGATTGCTTTATTTTGACGCCGGTTGTATTTCTTTTTAAGACTATAATCAATATTGATTACATTTATTAATGGTATTAAATGATCTGATAAAAAAATCTGTCGATAAGTTTATCATGTGAAGTTCATAGAGACCTTGAGCAATCATATTAAGCAGAACTATGCCGTAAAATTATATACGAGTAACAGTTACTCAAGTTGATCATGTTTGAAACGAACTATTAATTATTTAGTCTGGTATGACAAATGCCGATAAATCATCATATTTCAGACATTAAGCAGCCTTCATTTCACTTTTAATTATACATTTTCGTTCTTATCGCTTAAAGACTTTTGCCATAGAATTAGGTTTTATTTTTAGTAACATCAGCTATAGTGATTGATGAAAAGAAACAACATAAGACATGAATTACCGTGTATGGTACAATATCTTCTTGTGCAACATAATCAAGACCTGGTATAGCATAAAGATTTCTATCACGTTCTTGATTGCCCAAAAAAGTGACAGCCTCTAAAAGAAAACGAAATTCATTGATATTCTTCATTGCAATATTTTTATTGCAACAGACCATTAGAAAAAGACTAGAAATCTAACCTGTTTGAGCTCGAATGTGTGGCATGTCGCGTGTATCAGTTAAAACTTGATAGTAGGTAACTGATTTTGCACGAATTTCATGAATATTTGACTGTGATGACTTTGTTGATTTAGCCAACGGCGGCAATGAACTCGAACGTTCATCGCATCGATCAAATACTCTTGCAAGCCAAGGGAATATAATTACACCGCGATAACCAAAGACGCGATGAAGAAATAACTAAATCACAACAAGAAAATATAAGACAACATGCATGAATTAATCTCCTATGATGAACAGTACTTCTCGATTTCTGTTTTCGATTCTCATTCCCATAAGACTTTCGAAAATCCTATTTTTGTTTCATTTCTTAAGTTTGAAACAAGCTCTAATTATCATACATAAACATCTCATGAGACAGGTGCTCGGTGAATTCGTCGCTGGGCAATTCGTTGCACGGACAATTTGTTGTCAGACTATTCGTCGCGAATGTACTGTAATTGGTTAGAACTGTACCATATCTTACTGTTCATTAGCTTAACTAAAACTGTGTTTCAAGTAATGTATAAAATTATAACTCTGTTATCCTCACCAAGCAAAAAATAAATATTCTAATAGTACTTTTGAATAATAAAAAAACAGTTGTTTTCAAAGTTAAGTACAAAATTATTTTATAAAGTAAAGACAGTCACTTGTTTTCAATAGTAATTTAACCATTTACTACTATTTTACGAAGAATGACTACAAGCAAGATTTTTTCAAGCGAGAAGGAAAGTCTATGTTTGGCAATGAAACTTACGATTATACTTTAGAACGAAGTGATTTTTCGATATCACAATAAAGCTTTCAAAGGTAAATTTAACTAAAATATGATTTTCACTAGATTTCTCTATGAATAAATTTCTCTCTTCGCCTCTACATTAATTGTGCTACATTCAACTAACTATGCGACAAATTATTCTTGCGACTCATTTTCTGCAACGAATTGTCCAGTTACCCACGAGACAGTGTGTCTTCATAATATACCATCAAGTAACTTTACATTTGATAATAGACTGTTGGTTGCCTAATTACTTTAAAAGCAAAAAGTAATTTTATTATCAAGAAGAGAATACGATAAAAAGAACAAATTTGTCGAACCATCTTATTTCCATTTCTTAGTTCACATTTCCGAAAACTTCTTTTCATATGAATACCCGTTTCTGTTACTATGCAAATAGACAAACGGAAACCAATACGTTTACACAGAATACTGGCACGAATTCATATTTTTATAATAATACTTCACGCTTAGTTTAGCACTAAAATATTTGTCTTTTATTCAGCATTATGATTAAATTAAGGTCTTATCAAATTCATAAAAAACAATAAATAAAAGCGCTTCTTCTTTTTTTTGTTATTGATTATCTGCATTAAAATATTCTAAAAAGCTTTTCATTGTTTGTTCTATATATAAATATATATATATATCTAAGCGAGACGATCAGAACATTATCGATTAACATATTTTTAAAATTATTAATTGAATTAGCCTGATAGACAGAACATACGTAGGAAATCGAAGAAAACATTTAGGAAACGACTCAATTCGATAATTGTTTTATGGGTCTGTGTATATGTCTATGTAAAGTGTTACTCAGGACAAAAACAAGAGAGAGAATCATTCGATTTGCCAGAATGCATTTACTATAACAGAACAGAAACGGTAGTAGTGGCGGTAGAAAAAAGGAAAATACCATCAGCAGAGCTTGCCGACAGGAAGTCTCCGTTTTTTTTTTATTTCTCATCCCTCTCGTCCGCTGCTTGCTCTGTCTCTCTCTCTCTCTCTTCTCATTTGGTTCGACACTCGTCTTTATTTCTACTTGGTGTGCTGTTCATCTGTTCGGCACATTCCAGTGAGCCGTACCATTCCGCCATTCATCTATTTTTCTGAGCAATATAAACTTCAATCATTCAATTGTGTAATAAATACGCATACATGGAAGTAAAGAAAACTACTTAATATTAACAACAAGAATTATTGAACACGTACATATATAGAAATAGAAATATTAAGGTAAGATGTCATGTTAGTTATTGTTTTTCTAATTATTTAATGGACAAAAAACACAGAAAACATTGTTTTAAGAGAGAACAGTAGATCTGGAAAAACGATTATTTTCTCGTTTCCTTTTGCTTTCTTTTTTCTCCTTCGTCGTCATTTTCTTCTTTTTGCTATATGTTTATACTAGTATGCATACATGTTGTTTTTACGCTTCGTCTGTTGTTGTTCGTTGGCAATATCGTTTCTGTTTATTTTGCTCATTTGAGCACACGTATATTATATGAAAAAAATTTGAGTAGATGACTGTAAAATAGTGCTTCAAGATTTCAGTTCTTCATTCGTGCTGTCATATATATATATATATATAGAAAAACAATTGTGATACCATAAGAACAATCACGCAATAAAATGATGATAGAGAAAATGGAAAAGAAATATCTGTTGCGCGATTTGTCATTTTCTCATCAAATATGAATCTAGCTCATGGGCATTGTTGTCGCTTTTTTCCTTCTTCTTCTTCTTCTTCTTCTTTTTCTTCTTCTTCTTTTTTTTTTGTATATGTAAGAGAAAAAGAGAGGAGTTAATAACATAGCATGTTATGTCGAGAAAGCAATACTTTGACAAACTGTTGCTCTTAGGCGTCTATAGGTTAAAAATTTTGTATATGCTACATAGTCACTAATGCTAGACAGGTAGATATTGAGAAAGAAAGACAGAGAGAGAAGAAGAAAAAAATACAAATGAGCTTGTTAAAAGCTAATTACGCCGATGACGTATTCTATGGGAATGCAAGCACGTGGCGACTTAAAAAAAAAACTCTATTAATCATAGATATCGAAATATTGGTCACGTACTGTATAAGCGATTTATATTCAATGTTTTAGATTCATAAGAGAACAAGTCCAGATACAGATATGAGCCGTCCAGTTTCATCAGCGAACAACAATCAAAATAATGCTCAACAAAATATATTCAAAGTAGGTTTATAATTTTCTGCGAGATCAAATTTTTTCAGAATAATAGTAATAAAACGGTTAACTATTACAATATAGACGAATAGAATCATTTATTTTATTGATTAATTTTAGGTTATGCTACTTGGAGATAGTGGCGTTGGCAAAACATGTTTATTAGTACGTTTTAAAGATGATACATTTTTATCGGGAAGTTTTATTGCAACAGTTGGCATTGATTACCGTAATAAAACTATTGTTATTAATGATAAGCAAGTGAAATTACAAATTTATGATACAGTATGTACTATATATAAATGTTTTGATTACTAAATTTTATTTTTAAAAGTATGAGTATAGGAGAAAATCTGTCACTCATAGGTTTATTTATTTTCCTCGTTCCCATTATGAACGGAAATGAAAAAAGAAAATATATTTTTTTCCTTTTATTACGACTCTTTTTTATTTTTGAATAGAGGAAATCCTAGAATAGATATTCTTCAAACGTTCTTAAGTATTTTATGAATTAAACAGTTTAAAGGATCATTCGCCATTGTACTTCTACGATGCCAAAGAAAAGACCATCAGACATTTATTAAATATTGATCTTGCTTTGAAAAGCGTAAATAATATTTAAAAGCCTTTTGTTTAAATATTATAAAAAAATTGATTGGATCCATACGTAAGAATCCGGAGAAAATTCATTAAAAAAACTAAGCGATTCGAGTTTGTAAGTTATCATTTAACATTCATAAATATTGACTAAAGAAGTAGAAATTGTATCAATAAAACACCAACTGGCTTAGTGTGATGTTAAGGCAAAGTTTTTCTTTCTTAAAATTCAATATTTAAAAAGTATATGAGCGTAAATAGGCATGTGCAGTTTAGATTTTCTAACTATCGATATTACCAATTTAAGTGGCACTGAAAAACGTGTTCACCGAAGCATTCTAACTGAGCGGTACAAAAAAGAGTATGTTTCAATACTACGATTGAGTCTGTCTCAATGACTCGCTATCAACGCTGCTATTAGACATCTCAAGACACAAATAAAATAATCGATTCTTAAACTTAGTCGAAAAGTTGTACAAGTTTTGAGCAAAATTCGTTTGTTTTATTTTAGTACAAATAGAAAATACTGTTTCAATAGATGATCTGTTCAAATCTCGGTATTATTAGCTGTAAACTAACACTGCATGATTTATTAATAAATTTTAATTTTAAATCATCTGTATGTTAGCATGTCGACTAACATGTGACAAACATCTACTCGTGCTATTAGTTAATACTGATAGGTAGCTTAACTATTGAGCGTGTACGAGTCTTACATGGCTAGGCTGGTTTTCTATCCATAACTATAGCTAACATTAGCTCTAGCGGTGATATTCAGTTTATGAATCTATGACGAGGCAGCATCCTATGCCGAAAGGCGCAGGCGTCTATTTTTATTATTAATAAAAATTATTGACGTTGCTTTTGCTTTTTTAAGGCTGGACAAGAACGTTTTCGTTCTGTAACTCATTCTTATTATCGTGATGCAAATGCTTTACTATTACTCTACGATGTAGCATCTATAACTAGTTTCAATAATGTTCGTGTTTGGCTCAGTGACATTAATGAATATGCTCATTCCGATGTGGTTGTTATGTTAATAGCTAATAAAGTTGATAAAACATCTGAACGTGTTGTAACACGTGAAATGGGTGAAAAATTAGCAAGCGAATATGATGTTACACATATTGAAACATCAGCTAAAACTGGTTTAAATGTTGAATTTTGTTTTAAAGCCATTGGACAAGCGCTTCTACAACAAGTTGATTCAACAGTGCCAAATGGAGAAAGTCCATCGAAAACATTAAATAATCTCGTACACTTAAATGATCAATCACATAAACAAACTCTATGTTGTTCATTTTCTTAGTATATATTGTTATTCATTTTATTTTCACCGTTTAGATTAGAATTCTGTGATAAAAAAAGAACAACACAGAAATGCACAACAAACAAAATTGTGATTTAGATCTTTTTCTCGTTCTCTTTGTTCTATTGTATACATCGAAATTAGTTGTGTTATTTGTTGTACAAAAAGAATTGTAAATTATGACAAATGTCCTCTAATGAACATAGAGACGTGCTCTTTCGAATTCTAATACATATATATATATATAAATGTTTGACATCTATTCATTCATCATTTGTATGACGTACCTGACCTGTTTCATAATTGCCTTCTTGTTTTACGGCTGTAAACAGGCCGACTTCGTGAAGTCTATAATAAAAGAAAAATATATTGTTATTATTTTTTTCTTAGAGAACCTTCGAATCGAAAGTTCAAACGATTTTTGTTATTCATTTTGAATCAGAAAAAAATTTCTTCGACCACTAAGTAGTAAATATTTTTTCATTGCCAAGAGATTTTCGAGTCTGTCAACTCATGTTTGACATTCCTATGAATTCTTTATCGTGAATATGCAGAACAGGATATCTCTATGTGATAAGATTATCTTGCAAGTAAATAATAGAAGTAATTATCGGATTAGGATCAAAACTAATTGATATGGGTATTAGCTTAAAAAAAAATCATGGATTGTTGTTGACAATGATTTTATACTCCAAACATTTAGATAAACCCATCTTTTGAAGAGAACATCTCCATAGAGAAAAAATTTAATTTAATTGGTTCTAGTTTTAATTGATGCAAAAACTACTCGAATATTCTCAATCGAAGTTCAAATCATTGAACTAGATTTTTTTCTCCAACAAAAAACTTTTATAACGTGAATGAGTACAAATTAGTCATAGGCCATTTGATATACTAGCCTCAAATTCTATTAATAGTAGTAGTATACGCTATCGAATAAAAGGGAATTCATAAAGAATATTTGATACAAGAAATGTTCATCACTCTCATATGTTACGGGCACAAAATAGGACAATTTTTGATTTGATAATCAAATAATATTTATTCTTACTTATTATTTGTATTCCATGAGGCAAATCGAATCAATGAATAATAAGAGAACTTTTTTATAGTAATATTTAATAAACAAATTGTTTTAATTGTGAACATGATCACGTCTAGAAAATAGAATTTTGTGAGTAAAAATCGTTTTATACGATCATAATTTATTTTTATACAAAAATTCTATGACATAACAAAGTCATGCATGTTATTTAATCAATTTTGTTCATTAGCTACAAAGCTGGATTACAAATTTGGCAAATTTTCGAATATTCTAACTTAAAAATCACGTCATGTAAAATGTCATCAACAGGTTATGCAAAAAAGCACTTTTTTCCATTCATATCATTATGAAGCGTGCCTTGCATTAGTAAATATTAATATTCGTTAATGACTTTAATGGTTGAAAAGCATAATCCATAGATCAACTGATGTTTTAAAATTCATTTGAATAATTTTTCTATTCATAAGGAAAATTTTTCAACGAAAAATCACTCCAGAATCGAGACTCTATTCATTCTTTAGAAGCAAATATATCGAAAGAACTTTATGATCTAATTGATTGATGCGGCAATAATCCACATTCACGGCCTTGTGAAATTGAATACTGTGATTCAGTTCATGAAGAGCAGAAAAAACTACTTAGATTATTGTGAGCGTCATAAAGCTTTTCATATGTTTGTACTCTAAAGTAAGAACATCAAATCTGCCGTTTTAGGAAAACGATGCGAACGGCATTCTGTTCTCATAATTCTATCTTTTAAGTTAGAAATAGCGGCAGGATCTGAAGTACCTTTGATGTCTATTCTTCACAGAACTCATCCCTCTGTTGTGAAGTTTCAAGGGAAGAAATTCCTAAAAATCATCTTTTTTTCTAATATCCTTAATGGGGATGAGATAACGCACATTTCAAAAAAAAAATCTTTGTAATTTCAGTACCTTAACAGAGATCAGTTAAGGATACGAATTCTTTTCACGATATTTACAGTTCACTTGAATCTACATTATGTGTACGCTATCGACTGGAAAGTAATTTACTAATCGAATGAGGTCTTTCGTTGGAAACAACATGCATTTAAAATAAAAAATAAAATTCAAATTTATCATTGGTGGAGATAAAATGATGAAGTTGAAACGCTTCACGCATTGTAGCCATCTCGACCGTCTTCGAAGTATGACATCATCAATAACATAGGATGACTTGATCTTAACGACAGACAGAAAGAATGAATGTGATAATCTGAAAATAAGTTTTACATTAGTTACAATTGAGAGAAAATTTTCCTTTTAATCAAAAGTAATAAATAAGCAGTTATATTTAATCGATTCATTGATTAGAAATTTTATTTTCTTGCTGCTACATTTGGGATTGAAACGAGTGACTACAGAATATTACGAAGCTATTTACTTGAAAAAATTCGCTTCTACTATTGATTATGATTTAGATATCTCGTTACGTAGGTCCATCATGAGGTTTTTCAGCATTATGCTAATGGAGAATGCATCTGAATGTGACTACTTTAGAGATTGAATCTTACCTAAAGGTCGTCTTTTGAATTTTCTTTTATCTCACATGGTTTAGTTCAATTGCTGAATTCATTAATGAAACCAAAATATTTTGCCTGGGAAAAATCTGATTACACTACTATTTTTCATTTTCAATATTAATTTATGCCTAAGTCTATAATAGATGTCACTCTGTTTCTAAAAATGCAAAATATTATTTTGTTTACATCAAAATTGTTTTTAATAGCACACTCATTGATTCAAGGTGAATGCTTCCTGAGACATTACTCATGCGAAAATAATAAATATGATATAGTCTCGATGAATCCATCGACGATATCTCAATGCATAAAAACCTTTGCATATGGACTAAGCGAAATCTGATACTATTGTTTTGTGTAAACTTGAAAGTAGAATCGTTCGCAAGTATTCAAAAGGAGAATCCATATAAATACAGGCAATTTTTATTTATTTTTGAAAGAAAACTCAATAGAATTGCAGAGATGGATGAATATGTCACTAATAAAGATATCTTAGAGAATATCAACGCTAATATTTCCTGTAGTGGTGAAGCAAACTAATTTTGAATTTATCTAATGGCCAATAAATGAGAATTGTATTAAATAATAAATTCAGCTATTTTTTGTACTGATAAATGTACAAAATTTATTATAGCAATTAATTATAAACGGTAATAAAAAATGAAGATTAATTTGATTGGCACTCAAATGATAAAAATAATAGATTAATAAAAATATCAGTTACACTCGTCGCGCTGTAGCAAAGTTAAACTCAAAATAAATTGGCATTCAAAGGTTTTTCATCTAGTCTATACTATATGCTCAGAAGAGGAGTGTTTATCATATTGATTAGCTTTTAATTAGGAGTAGAATTCTATGTTCTTTTCTATTTCTAAAATGCAGATTAAATTTTCGAAAAATTTGACTAAATAAAAAAAGTAACCAGAGAGCGAAAACGAACCGAACCGAACTCAAATCAGAAAAAAGTCGGTTCGATACGCTCTCTGAGCGGAATATCACATAAAATGTTACGGCTTCTTATAAATACTCTTGAATTAAAAATTATGATAGTAATTACTTGTACACAATAGAAAAGCTTCCCTCGACCCAGGGTCTTTCTCAGAGGATTTCTTTTAGTCACATAACAAATTTATTCGATAGTTTTACACGCTACTCAGTCATCTTTTGTTGAATTATAAAATATTCTCTACATTTGACTAAAACTTGTAAGAAATTCAATGACGAATTGACCATTCTATATCGCAAACTATCGTAATATTAAATGTATCGGCAATCTCTTAAATCTTACTTGAAACAGAATCTTGTGCAAGTATTTGTACACAATTTAATAAAAATGAAAGCCATATAGCATACTTTTGATTTTGTTTTTTTGCTTATCAACGCTGTATTTTTTAGAAATAAATAAACAGAATAATCAAAAGCAAGTCATTGTCGAAATAAATATCCAGATTGAATTAGTCTATCATTGTCAGTGATGTTGTCGTTATTGTCTTTTTGCTTAATCATTTTCTTAAATTCAATAATTTGTTGTTGTAACCGTATTCGATGAGTTGGTTTTGGTTTGAATAATTTTAAAATAATCTGAAAAAAATTAACAAGATACCTTTAGCGATAGAAAAAAACCTCGGCAGATATATGAAAATAGTCTCAAGCGTGCTTTGGAAGATATGAATGAAAAAGAATGTTAATGATTCATAGCTATTCACTAAAATGTTCTTTCTTATACTCGCTATCAGTTTTTAAAAAGAAAATTCTTTCGACATGGAATTCAAAATTTTGAATGCCTTTCCTTCGGATCTAATCAGTGTTAGTTACAGGAGCCTAGAATGGCTATTAGTATTTTAATATTCTGCCTAGTGTTGATATTCTTTTATTGAGTGACTAATCGTTCTTTTTTCTATTCAGAAAATATGATTCATTTCATTTTACAGACTTGTTTATGGAAAAATTTCAAACTCTACCATTCACCTGCTTTTCATCTATTTAGAACAGAATAAATACAAGAACCAATTTATAAAAATATATATCTTATCACCGATCCATTTTAAGAAATATCGAAACGAATAAAAGCCCAATTGAAACGGTTTGTTAACAATTCAAAAAAAGAATTTTCAAAACACGGCCACCAATAAGTATGAGACTTCATTAAAATTGCACCGAATAAGAAGAAAAACAAGCATGTTTATTCAATTGGATTATCTTCAATAGTTGATATTTCTTGCTGATTTTTACGTAAAATTGTTTTATATTGTTGAAGATTTTCATCCATCATTAGAGTCTATTGAAATAAGAACTTAATGAGAAACTAAAGAAAGAATCTGTATCTTACAAATGCAGCATAATCGCGTAAAAACTTGGATAGTTCTTGGGTAAATTCACTATGTTGATACTACACAAACGATCATAGTGAAAGATACAATAAAAAAAAACGAAGAGGCAAACCTTGATATCATGATGAATAGTTAATAGTTTATTCAATGTCTTGAATAAGTTTGGTATTTCTAATTGAAATAAATTCAGACTGATTATAATGGCATATTGGAAAGATATGATATACCTTGAAAATATTCCCCATCGAGTACACGTGCTGACGCATCGATTTCAGAGAGAATTTTTGTTACACCACGAATACGTTCTTCATCTAATATTTAGTCGTTAGAAACAAGCAGTTTTTTTAATGGAAAATCTTTACCAGCAAGAATAAGTTCAAGTTTTACGGATCGATCTTTGAGTAGACGACTTTGAAAATCTGAACTGATTATACGATTGATTGTGTCAGCTGTAAAAAAGAAATGAAATACATCGATTGTTGAAACATTTATTACGTTTATCATTCTTGAATTAAATGCAGAAAGATCCAATAGACTGTAGATATATATATATATATATATATATATATCTGTATTTCTCTAATGGAAATTAATGACAAAAATTCTAGATGATACTGCTTTGAATAGAGCTGAGAAATTACAAAAGTTTTATTCTACATTTTTTTTTCGAAAAGTTTGTTAAAAGGTCTCATTCGATACTATAATAGAAAAACAAACATTTGATTTCAAATCTTTCTGATCGTCATTCTCAAATAAATCGTTAATGTTTTCGAGAAATTTTCTTCATAATAATTGATTTCTTACAACTGTGCCATACTAAGAAAATTTCATAATCTACGTAGGTATCAGAAGGTTTTGTTGATACTGTCGCGATATATAATTCTATGCCGCTATTTATTCAACATAGTTATAAAAAATATTAGTTATTATCGACGAACAGCATAATAGAAAAGTTGTATAACATTAGTTTTGTATTGAATAAGAAAAAGATAGTGAACGACTTTTTAATGTGATTAAAGCTTGAATTATTGACATTACGAGTGTAAAAAGATTTAATACAACTATCACGATAGATACCTAAACATTTAATGAAAATCATAGTTTTTATTGATGATATAGATGCAATGTACCCAACGTTTTCTACATTTCTGAGGATGCATAATGTTGAGATGTGTCTTATTCAAGTTCGGACGAACCGTATATTTTTATAACAATATCATGAAATTGATTGAGCAGCTCTAGAACCGCTTGCGGAAGAGTTGAGATGTGACTCAGACATTTACCTTGTTTCAATAATGCAATGGCATGCATATTACTGCTTGCACACTGAATAAGTTTTTCATTGAGATCATTAATTATTCCGACAATCTAAATTTTTTAAATAACATGAAACTTCTCATGAATATTTTCATCATACATTGTTTTCATCGGACTTTCCAATAAAATTTTCCAAACGTTTTACACGCCATTCGAAATGATTGATTCTTTCAAGATCTGCTTTAAATAGAAAAACCATTATTTTTTTTTATTAAAATGAAATTTTTCTTTTTAATTCTACCTGAAATCAGTGTAGACATACTGACAATATATAATCGAAAAAAAGAGACCAATCTCACTACATTCACTATCCTTCTTCCTTTTTTTCGAAAATGCATTAGTCGTTTAAACATTTATGATTGGCTGTTTAGATCGCGTTAACAAACTTCTTTGTGGAGGTCGCCAAACGGGGTAGTCTTCCACCGATTGTTTGTTTGTTTCTTTTGCTTATCAAATTTACCAGCGATCGTTCATCTAAATTTACAATGGTAAAAACGTTTTTTGTTTTATTCGCTTTTAAACATTTATTTTAATTATCAGGCTTTTGTTAAAGTCGTTAAAAACAAAGCATACTTTAAAAGATATCAAGTGAAATCGAAACGACGTCGACGTATGTATTTGTTGTTGTTTTCTTTTGTTAAAAAATCGTTTTAAAACAATTACACTTTAGAGGGTAAAACTGATTTTTACGCACGTCATGCACTTATTCATCAAGATAAGAATAAATATAATACACCAAAATATCGATTAATTGTTCGATTCACAAACAAAGATATTATCTGTCAAGTATGAGTATTTTTTTATTCTTAAAATTATTTATTTATTTATTTATTTAGATTGCTTATGCACGTATTGAAGGTGATTATGTTGTAGCATCAGCTTATGCTCATGAATTACCACGATATGGTGTTAAACTTGGTTTGACTAATTACGCTGCTGCTTATTGTACCGGTTTACTTTTGGCTCGTCGTACATTACAAAAATACAAACTTGATGATGTATACAAAGGCGCAACTGCTATCACAGGTGCTGAATTCGAAAATGAAGCAGTGGAAGGCCAAAAACGCCCATTTCGATGCTACCTTGATGTTGGTTTGGCACGTACAACAACCGGTGCTAAAGTTTTCGGTGCATTGAAAGGCGCCGTAGATGGTGGACTCGATATTCCACACAGGTAATTTTTCGATGAAAAAAAAAATGTAAATAGCCTCCTCTCGATGAACAATGTAAAAGCTGATGAGATGCAAGTTCACCGGAACGCGAAATATGTAGAGTTCCACTTTAATGGACATTTCGCCCCTTTCTGATTTTGTTTGTTATTTATACTACTAGACAAAAGCTTGAAAAAATAACGACTAAATTGTTTGTATTCGTTAGAACCGAATCGACGTTTTGTAAGACAAGAGAATATTAAAATAGATGGAGTTATGTGTCATGATAGAATTGTCTTCTAAAAGATATATCAATAGTGCAAAAGCTGATGAGATGTAAGTTCATCCGAACACGAAACATGTAGAGTTCCACTTTAATGGACATTTCGCCCCTTGCTGATTTTGCACTTATTCAATATAATATTTTTCGAACGAAAACTATACACAACGATACAAAAACTGATGAGATGTAAGTTCATCGGAACACGAATTATGTAGAGTTCCACTTTATTGGACATTTCGCCCCTTTCTGATTTTGTATTTGTTGTAACGATTAGACACCCAGTCTTATTAATTTGAGACTAGTTTTAAATGCTTGTAAGTAAATATTTTTTATTTGTTAGCATTGTGAAAACTATGTGTAAGCTGACTGAACGATAGAAGAGATAGAATTATTAGTCATCTTAGAAAAGTTTCAAATATCCATTTGGTTTTTTAAGTTTTATTCTGTAAGATACATTGATTGTGCAAAAGCTGATGATATGTAAGTTCATCCGAACACGAAACATGTAGAGTTCCACTTTATTGGACTTTTCGCCCCTTTCTGATTTTGCACAGCAGTTTTTAGCCTTTTTTTTCGACGTGAAGTGCACATGATGAATATCGTTTATTTTTCTGTCATCTCTTCTGATTTTGATATGACGAGTATTTTTTTCTGATGCACGTGTTAACTTTTATTTTTTTGAGAAATGGAAATTACATTTCAATAAATTTGTTTTGTTTTTAGTACTCGACGATTTCCAGGCTACAGTCGAGAAGGTAAAAAATTCGATGCTGAAGTTCATCGTCAACATATTTTTGGCTTACATGTTGCTAACTATATGACATCACTCAAAGAAGAAAATGCAGATCTTTATGCTAAACAATTTTCACGTTTTGTTAAAGCTGGAGTTGAACCATCTTCAGTAGGTTTCTTATAATTCTTTGAAGAAAAATCTTGTTTCATTATTTTTTTTTCTCCATTAGTTCGAAGCTTTATATAAAGCTGCACATGCTGCTATTCGTGCTGATCCATCAGCATCACCGAAGAAAGTGCAGAAAGCTGATGCGCCTAAAGCTAAACGGTAATTAATTGAATTAGAAATTCAGTTGTTTTAGTTGAAGTATTAATCGATAATTGTCTTCCGTGTTTTAGTTGGAACAAAGTTAAACTTGCCCGATCATCACGCAAGAACCGTGTTCAACAACGTAAAACAGCTTTCCTCAAAACGATCCAAGGTGGCGATAACGAATAAACGATCAAAAAATTGCTTATTAACAATAGTGAAGAAGATCAGTAATTTTATGTGTTTGTTTTCAACATCATTATTGTCGATCGTTTATTCTTGTTTCCGTTTTATTGTCACCAATTGACAGTTGATTTAAAAAAAGAAGAAAAAAGAACAATAAAACAAAAAAAATGCGAAGCAAAGTCATGATCGAATTCACTTGAATGACTGCAATAAGAAGTTATGATTGTTTTTTTTTCTGATTTGATATCAATTCTAAGAGCTCATAAAATGGTTATGAAGAAGTTTGGAAACTAAAAGTAGTATCAAGTCTAAACTTTAAGAATATTAATATTTAACAAAACAATAATTTTTTTTTTTTGCTATCATCTGATACATTATAACTAAAATTGAAAGCAGAGACGCCAGGTGTACAAGAGCATTCATCGAAAAGGTTGAACAGTACACCTCGGAATGTGTAAATTTTGAACGATACACTGAAGAATATCGATTGATTGAAGCGATAAAGACAAGTTCTTTTCCGGTTTTGAAAGCAATTCTATTTTGTGCATGTCAATCTATTTGATATGCCTGATTCCTATCGTACTTTGATGTCTATTGTGAAGGATGGAGTAATTTAGTTGAGCCATGCAAAACGAGACAGTTTGTATGAACAATGCTCAATGTTAGAATCGACTACCATCATTTATGGTCATAATAAGTTATGAAAATAAAATCGTGTTGCATTCAATGAATACTTACGAACGACTAGGGGCATAACCAGGGGGTCTATGGGGCCCCCCCCCCCCCCCCCCCCCCTCCAATTTTTTCTGGTGACGTCCCTACGAACGACTAAAATAGTTCAATTGAAATGATTTTGTGGTACTCGCATATATTTTCGAAGAAAATTGTGCTAATTAGGAGCTTCACTAATTAGGCTGCTATTCTTTTCTTTAATTACAGAATACACGAAAAAAGCAATACTTGCCCATTACAGACCATAGTAACTAGTATCTGCCATTGTGAAGTATACGAGCTAACAATTAATACTCCATTACAGACATGAGCAAATAGGCGATGACCTAATTATCGGTTTTGGAAATCAAGGTAGATTTCTCAGCTGAACTGTTCTGAATTACTTTAGTAAGCCTAAGGGATATATATGAGTTCCACATTTTAGCCCCAAAGGGGCTGCGCTAACAAGTCTTTTTTCTCTTTTCATTGAAACTTATTGGTTTGATGGAATTTACATTTTCCGATTGCCTGAATTTTCAAGAAAAAATGAACAATGAAATGTATACTCCCCTTGGTTTGATTATTATTATTGCTAATACGTCGTTAATTACTGCTTTGTTGAATATATTATATTTCAACTAATATTTATCGAATCGAATATGATTAATGTTTTTTTTATCATTATTTTTATCTCAATGTCAATTCTGAACTTAAGCTACAGAATAATTTTCCATGAAGAACAAGAACAGATAAATATCGTCAAAGCTCATCAGAGATTTGTTTTCTATTGTTATGTGGCGTTGCTAAATATTATTATGATTTATTTTTGAAAATATAAGTTGACATTCTGAAAGTATATATTTAGATTCTCATAGCAAAGTAAAAGAAAATATGAGAAACTTATTACTTAGAGCAATCCGAAGATGAAATGAATGCAATGAAATATTTACTAGAAGAAAAATATAGAAAACATAAGTAAGATTTGAATTAACTTAAACAGCTAGAAGATCATTACAAGCACTCACAAGAATACCCGATCCTTGAGAACTAATATCAATCTATTGAATAGCGTATCCTACGATGCCAACACAAGACTTCATTCTACAGATGTATACCTGTCTATTTATTATTTCAAGTTGGATGACAACGAAGTTTATATCAATTTTGTGTGAAGTATTCATTTTTTAGTTCGATTCCTTAGTCTATTTGTTTATTCAGAATAATCTGATACATCATGGCTCTGTAAGATGATGTCAGTCATCAAACTGAAGTAGTTTTGATAAACATAGATTTTTGCTTTAAATTAACAGTACTCTTTTATAAGAAGCTAAGATAGATCAAATAATTATCGTGTTGCTTGGAGTGAATTTTTTCCAGGTGAAAATATTACATGAATTGAAGATATCTTTCATCGTTCTGAAGATAACATTTAAAAAACCTTAATATAAAAGTTTCAACAATTATTAAATATTCCATAACAAAAAAAGACAATCGATCTTGGTATACTTTGTATCTCACTATTTTATTTTAAATTCTCGAAAAGTAAAAATTTTTACATTAAAGCAAAGTTTATCTTCCATTTATAGGCTACTTATTAACAATTTTAACATTAGACAAGTGTAGCGAAAATCGCTTATGAATACTTGACAGAAAATTCTCGAAATAATTTAATATCCTAACAGTAAACTGTATGATCTCTACGGTTTGTAGGAATACAACGCATATGATATATTATTTATAGCAGGTTTAGATGAGTGAATTCATAACTTCGTTTGATGTGGATCAATCTTCATAATGCGGATATTTATAAATTTCACAGTTTGAGTATTCTATAACTGTTTATTGATCTCGATTGTAGAATCGATAATCATGAGCAAGTAAAGCTTGATGTGGAAAATTATTAAGGGATATACCACAGGTGTGGCTTGTGAAAAAAATATTGAAAGACTCAGGTACAATTTCGGTTTTTGTACATTTTTTGAGATTTTCTAATGATAATCCGTAACCATGGAGTAGATCAAGTAAGGTGTTGCATATCAACAAACCAGTGAAGGGTGGCAATATTTCCGTTTCGTTCTGTTGACTTCGTGCTCATCAGAATCATTCTGAAGATGACAATAGTCAACGAGGTTTTTAATAGATTTTTTTATCATCGTATTGAATTTCCAAAGTGTCTTCTTTCAATTATTGCATATACATCAATAATGGATTAATGTCGTCAAAATCGATCGAAATTATCTCTCGATCACAATGTTCTAGATTCATTTGTAGTGCTTCGCAAATAGATACAACTTTTTATGCACATCTTTTATCTTACATATTTTGCTGCTTCATTCCTCGTATACCAATTGGTTAATACAAAGCACATCGACCGAGTCCAACTGTTATCATGTTTAAAGGATTGGTACTACATGCCATTCTATTGAGCTTGATGTAATCATAAAACACTGTTTCTGTTCTCATTTCACTAATGAAATCATTACATTCTTAGTAGATGAACAAAGAAATTAAGTGAATAAAAAAGAAAAAAACTTTTAAAGATAATTGAATGAACACGAGAAGAATTCTTCTCTCATTCTCTATTTGAATGGTACCTCTTTCTTGATATTTTTTTCTGTCTTGTTTCTATAGATCTTCAAGGACGTCCTGTCTCAATTTTTTCTTTTATTTTACAAAAATTACTGAAGAAACGACGATGATGAATTGGAAAACATTTTTCACACCCAGCGAGAAGCAAAGTAGTAGACTAATATGCGTGCCCCTCCAGAAGTCTAAAAGAATGAGATCAATGCAAAGTTTAAACTACGCAGATGCTTTATTTGATTGGCTTTTTCTAATTAAGAAAATTCAAAATCAAACTTCACAAAAATGATCTGTTTATTATTTTTCCAGACGTACGTTCGGTTCATCTTCCGATATAGATAAAAGGCATAGTCAAGTTTTAAATAATAATAAACGATATTGATTTTATTTTCGTACATACTTTAGTAGATAGTTATTTAGTTTTCATTATTATCAAAAGTGAAATATATATCTTTGAAAAAAAAAAACGCGACGCTATATATAAATATGTCATATGATGATAGAAATACTAAAAATCGAAATAATTATATTTGTTGCTAAGCTTACAAACAAATGTCAAGATATGAGCCTTTCTTTTATCTTATGGCTTTAGTAGTTCGTGACAGTAGGATAAAGAAATAAAATTTTATCAGGTTTCATCTATAGTTTTTACGATATTTTCAGATGATCATTATGCCGTTTCATTATCAAATGTTACGTAAATACCAGTTAAGTTTACGAGCTCTTCTTGACCAAGATCTGGATTTAATTTTACTTTGCAATCTTCTCGATGAACAGTGACAAACTGCATCAACCGTAAGACAAATAATTTGAATTCCAACTGGCCTAATTTCTGCCCTATGCATAGACGATGACCACCTCCAAATGGGGTATAAGCATACGCTTCATGATCCTTGTCCTCATTAAGAAAACGCTCCGGCTTGAATTCATATGGATCAAACTTCCAATAATTTGGATCATGATGAATATTATACGTGCAAACAAGTACAGTATCACCTTTTCGAATAGGTACTTTCTCCTGCTCGTTCCCAAGGTAATCATCTTCAAGAGCTACACGAGCAGTATAAGTTGTAATTGCCGTTGAATGTCTCAGTATTTCTTTCACTACACAGTCAAGATAGACAAGCTGATTTATTGCTTCAATCGTTAGTGTAGATTTAGGGGTGATTCCAAAGCTGGCTAATTCTTTCTTGATATTTATTTGTACCTGTTCAGCGCTTGCAACATAGTGAAAAAACCAAGCAATTGACAGTTCACCGAGTCCATATGCTGTCGATAAGAAATCCACACAGTCGAAGTATACACTCTTTTTCGACATCAATTTGTTCTCTTCTGCACTTAATAATACTGTCATGAGATTGTTTTGACTTTTATTTGCATCATTCATAAATCGGTCCATATATGAATGTAGAACTGCTTCTGTTCGTTGAAAGTTTTTGTTCAATTTTAAATATAACTTTGTTAGCCAATAGGGAAGAAAAACTATTCTCATAGCCTTCTTGATATTGGTTTCATAATCGAAAAATACTTGGCGAAATTCAGCGGATGATTCCTTATGTATTGATGGATCAACTAATAGCAATTTTAAAAATATGTCAAATATAACGTTTTTCGTTACTGGTTTCAAACGGCCAGAATCGTCTGCAACATGTTTTTCTTGCCGCCAATATTCGATAAGTTCATCTGCTCCATTTACAATAGTTGATACATATGTTGCCATTGGAGGTGCACGAAAAATTTGAGATAGAATTTTTTTTCGCAATTTCCATTCATTTCCAGTCAATGTACGAAAAGAATCTGGTAAAAATATTTTCATAACAGACGTACTGAAAGTGTCTCGTTCATAAATATGACGCCGATTAAAGACTTGTTCAACATGTTCAATACGATTGAGACAAACGATTCGAAAAGGACCTGCATAAAAGCTAAATAGATCACCCAAAACCGCTCTTCCTCGTGCCAACGCTACTGCTGGAGACATGGCTTTCAAGAGTAATAGATTTCCAGTGAGAAAACTTTGCGGAAAATGTGGTAGTTTTTCACTGAATAGGACATACCAATATTGTTTCAGGTAGAATACAACAGCCAACAAAATAATCAATCCCAATGTAATAAACATTTTTTCAGATTATCTACAACAATGGTTGAAACAGAAAAATGCTGCTGTATGTTTATATGAGATTTATAGAGGTCGGTCAATATTCTTTCTTTCTTTCGAGACTTTCATTCGATTCGTACATATAGTCTTGTATGATATTGTGGGATTTGAGAACAAATCGTATGAAAATCGTAACCGCTGAAATCTTACATTAGTTTGTACTATCAGATTCTTGAAAGATCTTACTACGCCGTAGTATTATATGACTCTTATTTTATAGGAATTTTTTTTTTCAATAGTAAGATCTTTCAAGAGTCTTATTGGAAGAATTAACGTAAGGTTTCAGAGACTACGTTTTTGTGTGTGATAATATCTGATGTAATAAGATCTAACATCGGATTGTTTGACTTGGGATAAAAACAAACCGATACACTATTGCAGGGCAAATCATAGCGCATCGAATAATATATGATTAAGATTAATTTTAGAAAAATTTAAAGAAACGATATTTAATTCACTGTTATGAAAGTACACGTCTACAAGAGAGTATCAGTGGCAAATTATAGCGATCCTTTTGTTATTGGATTCTTAAGAGAAAACGTTTTTTCTACAGTTTGTATAGCTGCTAACCGGTTAAAGATTAATATACTCAGAATTTTTTGGTCATTCTATTGTTAATAAAAAAAGTGGCATGCGTCGATTATTTGAAATTTTTTCTTCTTAAGAATTTTTCTGTACTCGATACTACTGATAAGCATAGAAGAGTTCACCCATCGTCAATTGTTATCAGAAATAGAGCCTTGAATAAGCCAAGAGATTACACTTATTGGTAACTCTTTAGCTATAGTATATAATACTCTAAATTCCAATGCATTGAGAAATTTCAATTTAGTTTAAAATGAATTTCATTTTTCTCACTACGGTATTTTGACTTCTTAACTACGGAAAATAGTTTTCGATGCAAATTATGTATTATTTCTGGAATCAGCATTATATATTGCATCAGTTCGATCCGATATTACGAAGTAATAGCTTGGACTCTTTGCTAAAACGATTGATTATATTTGGATACAACGGTCAATCTCACTGAAAATTTTACTCACTCAAAATATGAACTATCTCTGGGGTAGTTGAAAAAAACATTCTGCATTTAAAGTTAAACATTATCATGATATGAAAGCTAGTCTAAATATATCATGTTTGACTTCGCTAGAATCTCTTCAGTTGGTGTCATGATACATGCTATTACTCTCCATAAAACAAAATGCCTAAAAGAGTCATCGAATAATGTTCGAAAAATAAACACTAGAGTTGAAACTAAGAGTATTTATAGCGAAGAAGCTTTTCTATCAATAGTTCTGAAGAGGTATAGAGATATTCCAAAAACAATCTTTTTACTGATGCATACATCACTTTTTATGAAAGATGGAAGATGATGAAATATTGATATATACTTAATGAAATTTCTTTCATACGATGACACTTTCCTAAAAACTTGAGTATCGTTTAATAATAAAAATTATAAATAATTTTCATATATTACTTGTTAAATTTTCTTTTGTTTTTCGATCTTTGAACGAATTCTTTATTCAGATTATCGTGAAGTAAACGTTCTTACGCTATTCTCAACTTAAGTGTCGTATCTTTCTCACAAATGATGTTTATGCGGTACTATTTTTTTATCAATACCTGAACTAAAGAAAAAAGAAACGATTCGTCTAATTTAATTTCAAGTATTTTCAGCGCAAGAATACAATTAATTAATATTACTAAAATGTACTTCCTTCTATTACTTAATTTTAAATTCGAGATAAAGTCTTCTTCAGCAAATTATGTCGCTGACAGAAGATAGTTTGCTATGTGGTTTTCTTAAACACAAGTTGACACGGTGCTGATATTAATTGCATTCTCCGATGATTTTGCTTTCTTCTCTTTCTGTTCTATATCTCCCCTTTTCTCTTGTATATAAACGTGTGCGGGGTATATAATGAAGCGAATAAACATCATTGCCGATAGTGGTGGTTAGCTACTCCACTCATTCATTGTGTCGTTACATATTCACCCTAGAACAGTCGTTATCGTTAAAATAACCACACCATCACCTTAACGAGAGTGATTCATTCACTTGAATATACTCGATACTACTGAGAGCATATAAAAAATACACTGCTACTAGGAATAACTTGATATTTTTTATTTAAAAGTTATAGTACCACGAAAATAATCTGAACATATCTTTTTCCATCATAGACTTATGATTTTACTACTGTAAAGCATACTAAAGTCAATGATATCGATTCTATTTTCTTTTCTATCCATTATTCACGATGAAAAATTTACGAATCATTCCCAAGTCACTCCATCCTGCCTCCGGATTCAGTCGGGATCCGTCGGAACCGGCACCGGATAACACCAGAAGACGGCATGATTCCCACTCAAATCTGCCAGGATCCGGCAGGGATTTCGCCGGAATCTTTGCTCCCGGAAACCCCGTCGGAATTCAAAGGAAAATGATCCGGTCGTTTCCTGCCGGATAATACAACCGAACATTGTCGCAACCGATCCACTCGGACTACCGGATGATGCCCGTTTCATCACACATTTGACCGGATTCCATCCAATTCCGACGACAAGGACCTCATAAAAAATCTCTCATACAAGCGTTCTTGAATCAAAACGTGAATCAACTATAGTCTTCAAACACACGCACACCAACCGAAACCATAACGCCTGATCAATAATCACAACATAATCCAAAACCTCACCACTCAAACGGGTCCACAACAAACATTTTTCCCAACAGCAATCACCCAAAAAAATTGTAACCCGAAACCAACAACATTTGACTCACTAATGTCCACACTTAGAATAATCCGAAACCAACCTACTACAAATCGTATTCATTAAACACAAAACCAAGCAGCTCACTGCGCCATCTTCTTGCATTTCACTTCTTGAAAACATCGCCCTGACATCATTTTCCACCCATCGAAATCATTGGTAATTAATAGAAAATGCATCTGAATGTCATTCGGGATCATCAACACTAACCTTGTCATCAATTATTATAATTCTAAAGATCATTGAACGGTAATAATTGGGCAGATTAATTCATAGAAAATCGCTCCACGCACCATTTTGCACGTATCGAAATCATTGATAATTAATAGAAAATGCATCTGAATGTAATTCGGGATCATCAACACTAACTTTGTCATCAATTATTATAATTCTAAACATCACTAAAGAGTAGTAACTGGTCACAATAATTAACCGAAAATCGGTCCAAAGATCATTTTCCACCCATCGCAATCATTCATAATTAATAGAAAATGCATCTGAATGTCGTTCGGGATCATCAACACTAACTTTGTCATCAGTTCTTATAATTCTAAACATCATTAAAGAATAGTAACTGGTCACACTAATTAACCCAAAATCGGTCGAAACATCATTTTGCACCCATCGAAATAATTAGTAATTAATACAAGATGCATACGAATGTAATTCTGGATCCTCACGACTTACATTTCATCGATTGATTAATTTGAAAACCTATAAAATGGACCTTGCGTTAAGAAAACAGGTGAAAGAACATCGCTCCAGTTATCCTTTTGCAAAAAAATGAAAAGATTGTAACAGTCGCACAGAATCGTTCGGATAATGTTTCTGGATGATTTCCACGTACATTTTCCTCTTCAAACAGGATTCTAAGCATCTTTCGTTACGGATGCAACCACACTTTTCGTGGCCGAAAATGAGTCCACAGCTGTACCTGGGCCTATCGAAAAATTCACTAAGACTTTGAGAATCGTTCGGATAATTATTTTACATCATCGGAACGTAGCTTTTCGTCATGAAGCAGGATTCTAAGCATCTTTCGTTATGGATGCAACCACACTTTTCGTGGCCGAAAATGAGTTCACACCTGAACCTGGGCCTATCGAAAAAGTCACTAAGACTGTGAGAATCGTTCGGATAACTATTTTACATCATGGAAGCCTACCTTTTCGTCATGAAACAGGATTCTAAGCGAGCGCAACTGTGACATTTCAACCATAATTTTGCATAGATGCGTTTTTTCCATCGAAGTTACGCGCAAGTGTGTCGCAATTTTTCGCAATTACGGGTCACAGTGCGATCGCAGTTACGCCGTAGCTGCGCCGCATTTTGATCGCAATGAAACATATGGGAAACGTCCTGTTAAAAATTAGAAAAAAGATTTCTCAAGTTCGATCTTGATACTTTCATCTCCAGTTTCAATGAGTTCTCTAGCATTTATGGTTCTCGAGATCATCGCGTCACAAAATGACGAGATGTGATGCGTACGTCAAGTAAGTAAAAAATAAAAAAAAAATAAAACTCGCGACGGACTACATAAATGCTTCTGCTTCGCATCGCATTAATAAAAAAAACTCGCGACGGACTACATAAATGCTTCTGCTTCGCATCGCATTAATAAAAAAAAATCGCAACGCACTACATGAATGCTGTGCTTCGCACCGCTTTAAAAATCATTCATCAGTTAACGTTGCAACGAACAATCTTCCATTAGTAAATCTTGCAACGAATAATCTTCCATTAAACAACGCTGCAATGAATAATGATTCATCAGTACATCCTGCAACGAATGATTATACCTATGACGATCTGTGGCTTGGAATAATGACCTCTCCCAACACAGATGATTGTGAAATGTCATCTACTTCATCTGAAGATGACACAGACACAGAAGTAAGATCTTTAATTAGTCATACTCCAGTACCAAAACTATATATTTAGATATATAAACTTGAACAAAAAATAAAAAGCTTAACTGAGAAGTTCAAGAAAAAGGTTTCAGGTGGCAATCCAAGAAGTATTAAACAAGCAATAGAGGCCAAACAAACGAGACTTGATATATTGCATGACAAAAAAGGTAAAAATATCAATCATTAAGATCCCTTGAACATTATATTTTCATTATCTTTTTTTAGCTAATGAAAACAAGGAAAACATGGTTTAATTAGAACAAAAAAAAAATTTTCTTCTTCTTTTTTTTTCTTTTTTTATACAATCTAATGCACAAAATAAAATATATGATTATATTGTACTCTTCTTATTCATATGCTATCCTATTTCCCTTAATATTCACAAAAGCGCAATTCCTCTTCCTGACCTAAATATTTCTGATTGTGAATAATATTTGATACATTTTTCGTGCGGCAACCATTTTCTTTCCTTTTTCTGAACATGCAAAAACTGATGTATGAGAATGAGAATGAGAATAGAGACCAATCAGAAGTAAACGAAAAAGACAATAGATGCTCATCTATGAATTCATTGGCTATTCATCAAGAATATGTTTTTTCCGGCAGTGGCGTCCATCCATTTCATTTAATGACAACAATGACTACAAAAGGCAATAAACACATATATGAATGTTCTATGCACTGTAAGCAAAGTATCAGTCAAAATTAATATGACGCAGCCAAATGTTAGCTTGTTGGATCTGTCTGATGAAATATTACTTATTATTTTAAAGAAACTTGACAATACGGATGTTCTCTATTCATTATTGGATGTCGATAATCAACGACTTAATACATTAGTACATGACAAATCATTCACTAACACTATCAACTTTGTATTGACAACGATAACTGATGATGTTTTGTCGATTGCTGATTCAATACTTGATCAGTTTTGTATTAGTATACTTCCAAAAATTGATTATACTATTAAATCACTTGTTCTTGAATCAGAATCTATGGAACGTATTCTTCTTTCTGCCGACTATCCTAATCTAACCGAACTTACACTCTACAATGTTAACGACCATATTGTTTCACATCATTTTACAGGTAAAAAACTTCAATGAAAATAGATTTAAATGGAAATCTTGCATACAGTAGATAATATCTAATTATTCATTTAGTTGAATCACCGTTTCGTCGTATTTTTCAAGAACAGATTACCGATCTTATTCTTGTATATAACAGAGATATACACACGTTATCAATGAATCCGGACAGCAAATACGTGTATGAATATACACTGAAACTTTTTGAAAATCTACAACACCTGTCTGTTATTCAATGTGGTCGACTTTTGTCTATTGATGATTTAAGTTCGACTACGTGGCAATCAATAAATCTTACCAAATTATACGTTGATGTTTGGCGTTTTAACGATTGCTTTGCGTTACTCGATGGTCGTCTCAAACAATTGAATACATTTATTGTGAACATTAATTATACAAGTGATGATTTATCAAATGTTTATAATATGGTAGGTTCATGTATTACTAGATATTTTTCTCAATTTAAACTATTTGAGTTATCTGATCAATAGTCGATTATGTTCTATATGTGATATATTTCAAGCATCGTTTATTCATCGAAACTTTTTTCTCTATAATCGATTTGTTCTTTTCAGGATGATCTTCCTGATATGAAATGTTTCTCATTAACATGTTGTTGCGAAACAAATGAGTATGATACTCGAGTTTTGCCTCTTCTCCGTCGTATGATAAAGCTTGAAGAATTAACGTTGGATATTACTAATGACGAACGAACTTCATTTATCGACGGTACTCAAATTAATGATGAAATTCTTGTACATATGCCATGTCTTCGTAAATTTATTTTTCATATCCGTACCAAAGTTGAACTACGTCATTTAACTCATTATGCATCGAACGAAGATATTCAACGAACTTTTACCAATATAGGATATCAACAAGTATGCTGTGTACTAAACTACATAGTTGGCAATGTCATATGCCATATTTTCTCATTACCATTCGCATTTGATTATCTTGGATACATTGGCAATATATTTCCACCAATAGACTTCAGTCGTGTTAAGGAGCTGGACGTACACGATAAAATTCCATTCGAACATGAATATTTTATTCGAATTGCACGCTTTTTTCCTTTGCTTAAAGAATTAAGTGTTATTAATTTCGAATCGCAGTCACAAACGAGAGACAATTTAGTCTCGAACAATGATGAATTGTATCCAACTGTTGAATATCCAAATCTTATTTCACTTAGTTTCCAATGTTCTCATGTTGATTATGTCGAGCAATTTCTCAATGAGAGAAAAACACATCTATCACATCTAACCAAACTAATGGTCGATTATAAGAAATTAAGAATTGTAACAAAAAACTTCACAAGAAATGCAACACGGCGTAACTGTGCTCAAGTGAAACAATTAACTATTGACAAAACAATAATGCATACAAAAGAATTCTATAATTATTTTCCTCTCTTATTATTTTGTTTTTGTTATGATTAGATATAATAAGGAATAAACAGATTTCAATAATAATTAGTTTCAGCGACATGCATTCAAAAATTAGGAAATTGTAAAATTCATGCTGATATTGCTTTTTGAGATCAAATCTGCATAAAAGTGGATGAAGCAATCGAGATTAATTCAAGTTCAATACGCGTTGCTTTGGCAAACGTCAAAGTTGTCTGCAATACGGTACACTGCGGAACAGAATTCTTCCATCTGCTCTTTATTTCTATGCTATCAAAGGGCGTGGATGTTCATCTTTTCTCAATCTACACCCTAAGAGTCTTTGATTTATTTCGTATGTCGTATCAATGGGGGAATGAATCAAAATTTTATTGAAGAATTTATCATGAAACCTATTTCAAACAAGGAAAGTATAAATAAAAGTCTTTTGAATGTACTGCAATTGTACGTATAGTAAATTGTAAAGTTTGCACTTTAGAACAATTACGACGAGTTACATCACGTTTAAAATTTTTTGTTACAGTTACTAAATTATCATATGAAACAGTAAGATCAATGAGATTTGGTAAATATGTATTCGTATCAACTAAGAATTGTTCTACATTATGCGCACGTTGAAAATGAATTGTCAAAGAAATAAGATGATGAAATTCAACAACTGAAGCCAATTGATCATTACTACTTCCGTCGACATTATTGGGAAATCTATTATTCAAAACTGTAAGATGAGTGATTAATGGAAATGCACGAGCAATACGAAGAAAAAATTCATGCCTAAATGGATAAACCCTATCTGATAGATATAGGGTTTGAACATTTCTACATAAAACTCCTTGAAAACCATAACTGATATTATATATCTCGGTCATACTGCATGGAAGTGAAAAAATGTGACATTGAGCAACATTATTTGGATAATGACTTATATAAGAATTAACTTGACTATATTGCCAATTAATAAATGTACGAGAAATATCATTATTTGATTGTATATACATTTCGTTACTCATAAATTTACAATGTGTCTTGATATTGAATATGAATATTTGAATTTGTGGTAAATAAATGAGTATTTCGTTTTTTAAATGAGTACCATCAATGAATGTTGATCGATTATTAACAACGAGATATAATGTTAATTCTTTAAGATATTTCATTTGACGAATTAGAGGTAATATATAACTATCGTATTCATTTATATCCGAATATGAAGATAACGAGAAGTATTCAAGGTTAAGTACTGTTGTCTACAATACAATGAGTAAATATTTCTCTATTAATATATTTTCTTACCAAATTTTCTATGGGTAATGATGGAGCATTGATTTCCTGAATGCCAACATACAATTTACGTAGTTGAGGAAAACGACCATCAAACAAACATAAACAATCATTAAATGTTTTTACATTAATACTTAAATTAACTAAACTTGACGAATAACAAATCATCGAAGATAATCCATAAAGAGATATCAATGGACGGCGTTCAATACTATTTTCATTAAAATCCAGTTCGATAAGATTTCTAAATGTACGAAAAATCTGTGGAACTAGTTTTTCACCTAAATCAATGGCAGATAATGATGTAAACCATTTTAGATCAATTGTAAGACTAAGATGTGTAATGTTTATTAATGGTGATTTTTCTATAAAAATAAAAAATAAAAACTTTTCATTTAAAAACTAAAAAGAGAGTGTATAAAATCTTACCAGTAAAATGACGAAATACAAAATCTTCGCCAATTTTAGTAAAACTAAGTTTACGTAAACGAGGATAAACACATAAAAGAAGAATACGTTCCATAGAGAATGGTTCTAGAATGAGACATTCGATACATTGATGTATTTGAGGTAAAATATCTGAACAATATCGATCGATAATCGAATCAGGTAGTGGATAAAATCTATTTGTTTTCGAGTTTTTTTCTGTTAATTGAATAGAACGAATGTAGACAGGACTTCGTGCTAGTCTATCAAATCTTTTGTTAACACCAAGAAACGAATAGAGTACGTCAATATTATTAAGATTATTCCAAATCTTAATTATCATTTCGTTTGGAAGATCCATTATACCAACCATTGAATGATTCATATGTGCTTGTCAAAAAGTATCTATCAACATACATATTTGTAATTGTGTTTCTCGTTTGATAGACATACAATTTATATCGCAAACAGTAAACGGTCAAACGTCACGTATGACAATGAACATAATTTATAGCAAGAATATCAACCGGTCACAAGGTCATACGCACATTCGAGAAAAGGTTATAATATAAGAAGAGGAGGCTGTGGGTGTGGGTGGAGAGAATAGTCACCCCACCTCACCCCCACACCCTCAAGACCACAGGAAAAAAGCGCATTTTTTGCAATGATACACCGATTTATTTACCGATCATTCTCATCTTCGAACTTGACCCAGATATTCACGAGACAAATCTATGCAGAAAGTTTCATGCAAATCGATTAATCTTTTCGAGACTTATTGTGTAAATGGCCGGCCGGACACACTGACCGATTTTAGAATGTATTCACTTTTTGAGTGCACAAGAAGAGATGATATTACAGGTGAGACTGAAATTTTGTATGTTAACCTTTAAGTATCCGATGCAAAGTTCTTACTATGTAGATCGGAAATTGAACGAATGTGCTTTATCTTGTAAGAAATTTGAAAAATCTTCGTGCGTTGAAAGTTCGTTGCCGCAGTTACCTGAATTTTCATCAAATGATGTAGTTTAGCTTCACTTTTTTATGTTATCTTCTGTTCTTTTTCTCTTTATTTCTGTGCCAAGATCGGCAAGTTATTTCTTTTTTTTACATACAAGATGAGAAAAAGGTGACAGCGAGATTTTTGTCTATCTTTCGAACTAAAATCACCAGGTAAGTTGTAATTGATTGAAGTAAGCGATAAATTATTTTATTGTTAAAATTATTTGAAGAGAAAAAGTAAAGAACAAAATAAACTTTTTAAGTTTTTTTATCAAAATCGTAATAAGCAACTTATTAATTCATGTAAACATCATATTCTTTCACGTCATTTTTATAATCAATCAATTCTCAATAAATTCATTACACTGTTCACTATTGATTTCTCTTTGAATCCAAATTCAAATGAATGATACATCTCTTCTACTGAAAATCCTTTTCTCGATTATTGTTTTGAAAACCTTGGTAATGTTTATCAAATTATGTTCCACTTATCTTTATTAAAATAGTTGAAGATGGAAATATTTCTTCATATTAATAACTTCGTTCTAATTTCTTTTAGAGAATTACGATTGAATTTCCTAGAATGTATGTAAATTGATATGTATTCTAATCAAAATTCAATAAGTGCGTTTAATGTTGTCAGTCTACAAATGCCTGCCGACTGCGTGTAGGTTACCTCTTGATCAACACTCATCCACACTCTGATTATTCTATATCTATAGATGAACTAGTCTTTGAATAATATACGGTATGAAAATTTCTTAATATAAGAATTTTGCTCATCAATAATCTACTCGAAAGTATTCTCGACAAATGAAAGAATCTTTCAAACTCTTGAAAATTTAGTTGAGATTTTGAACAAAGCTATGTTTTTGTAATAATGTGATTAGTCTACGAATAAAGTTATTAAAAAAACTATTGAACTTGATCATTTTATCGTATGTATACTTTTGTAGAAAAGATGATGTTGTACTAAACTGTCATTTTTACCTAAATCAAATTATAACTCTCATCTTAGAAATTACATTCTGCAATTTTGTTGAAAAGTAAACTTTTTGAAAAATAATTATGATTAGAAAACAACAGTTTTAAAAAGTATCTATGAAGGCATTAAGAAATCGAGATACCGATGACAATTTAGATTTTAGATTTTTTTATGTACGTTTGAACGCTCATCGTCTAAAAGCACTAAATCTAAATCTTTAACTCATTTTCATATATTATAATAAAGTTAGTTAATATCGAATTCTGACCACTATCAAGGTCTTATCAGAAAAATAATCAAAAATCGCTCCATAGATGTGTAATAAGATCATGCTTCAAGAAGTCAAATATTTTCATCATGTTATACACTAAAACATAGAGCATCAACGGTTAAAAATTTTACCATTTAGATTATTGCAGATAATCTGTGTGCTGTGTTTTTTTTAGTTCAAAATGAATGGGAAATATCATAATTTATGACGAATCGAACGGATTCTAGGCGATTCTTTTTTCTAATCAAAGAACACTTATGGTATACCAGAGGTCGATTTTTCATGGAAAAAAAAACATTTCACTATAATATATTCGATTCAGTTTCGTTTTCGAAATATCACTATTATTCTGAAATACAATCGTGTCTTTCCTATAAAAACTACTAAAAAGAGTTTTCTTTCTATAGCAAAATTATCATAATTACTTTGTAGGAAATGTATGTAGATTCTTTTCACTTCAAGGGATCATTTTTCACCATTTCATAGAGAAGATTGTGACTTACGGCTATGGATGTTTGGATTTTCTCTTGATCTATAGCTACACATGCATCTATCCATCCATACCTACAAGCAAATTCGTTCAAATAGGCGAATTACTACAGTAGTTTGGAATTCGTGAAAAGTATTTTTTGTATTACAGCGTTCACCGATAGGCAAACTTTCCCACGAAATTCGTCAACTGGCAAAATTAGAATTGGCGATACGATTTTACGCCTTTCAACACATAAATAATCATTTTAAAAGTATTAAAAAGTGTAATTATTGTGTAAGAATAAAGTTTTTTTTGTCAAGAAGTAAGAGAGAATCAATAAAGCAAGTACATTGTGTGCCCTTTTAGTTCTCGAAAAACAGTTATTTAATTGTTTTGAATAATTAGAGAATGAAACCGATCTCTTTCATCCTGTATATTCGTGTAGAAATGAGACGATTTGTTGAATGAAGAGGCTAAATTAAGCGAGCATCACAGACACTTTCCTCTTCTAGTTCATCACATAGAACTCATTAATAGTCACACTTTGTTTTTTTTCTTTTGCTTTGGTACTTTTATATGCATTGATAACAAAAACATTTAAAATAACTATACATTTGTTGAAACTATTTAAATGACTGCAAAGATATTTTGACGAGGACAATATGAAGAAATTTTTCTTGCATGTATTAAACGCTATAGAACGACAAACACCCACTGGGAATGAAAATTGATTTTATTATACATATGAATAGGAAGCTATACATAGTGATAAATTATATGTGTGTCAAGCTGCTTAACAAGTGTTTCGACCATAGTACATCTTTATGATATCAATAAATTACAGGAAATGAGAATTAATTTGTTTATGTGTATAATGTGAGAAAGTCGACAAGCTTTATTTTTGATACCTTACTTGTATTCTTTTATTGTTGTCAATCTCAAGGAAATATAATCAAGATTACTTTTTTTACTTTAAATTCATTGTAGAATGGCAGAATTTTCAGAATTTATTGAATGCGAAACTTACTGATATAGCGCATGATTTCTATCATTAATAGTTAGACATATTCGCTTTAAGTGAATTTTCATTTATACTCCATTTCATACAGAAGACAATGATTATACTACTTATGCATTGCTCATAATGTTTGTTTTGTTGAGAAGTTGATCGAGTTTTCACGAAAAACTATGAAAAATTATATACTATGAGATCTGTACTAAAATACGTCGTCATACTTCTAGATAGAATTGTCCTTCGCTATATGTTCTATTCATATACCAGAAAAGTTTGTATTTTTTATTTCAATGATCTGGACAACAGAAACAGAAAATATTCATTCAAATACAATAATGCAGTCAAAAGACTAAACAAGAGAGATCTCTTTCCCTAATTCTTCAGATAAGATGTTGTTGACTTAAAAATAGCTTCCCAACACAGAAAATCTTCATGGAGTTCCAGTTTCTTTTCTTTTCACGATTCAAAATATTTTAAATGATAACAGTAATAAAAGCTAGTCCTTACTATGTCTGAATAATTGACATGCTGCATCAGAGCCGTAAAAATCTTTAACAATAAATTATAAATAATACATAGATAATTAAATTGGTTGAAAATTGTCTTGCTAATTGCAAATATACTCAAGAAAACGACGCATTTTAATCACTCATAGAAACGATCACTTGTTCTTTCTTCGATTTCTAATGCCATCTAATTTTTCGAAAAATGCATTGAATTCTAAGTCATTTAGTTTTCATGGTTGAATTTGTTTTTGGATAGAAACCAATGACTATGTTTTAGCTTGTACACACAAGATCTAACGAAGTCAGCAAAATACATAGAATCTATAGTGGGTTAGAAAAGCGCGCATATATGTTGTACACAGTACGTATTTTTGCGAAGATTAGTTGTGATAGAACATAATTAAGGACATTTTCTCTCTCTCTCTCTTCTTCGCCCTGCTCTAATAATCTTTGAAAGAAAGGTGAACAGCATTAAAGAAAAGCGTAGGATGCCGCATTATCAAACTTGTTTAGTATAGGTATAACGTTTGTCTCAGTTAGAAAATACTGTTTGCTTGTCCATTAATCCCCGAAATAAGCAAAGCATATCTAGAAGTAGCAACTGGAAAATAATTTTTGTTAGCAACAAGAATGCTATTCATGATGAGAAATACATTAAAACAGATCAATGTTGAATAGAAGGAAGTCATTACCTAATTAAAAATGTTTTGAACATCATCACTAAATATCGTTTTTTTCCTAGGGAACGAATGCATTACAATCAAAATTGCATAGTGATCATAATAGATATGTTGAATAGTACTTGTGATGTTGCGTACAAATATTCATAATGAAATAATGCATTTTTCCATTGTAAAATGTAAATAATAAGAAATTATATTCTAATTATAGATTCTTTCAATATACTTGTTTAGAAAATGGATATGTAATAAAATTATTTTGTAATATAAAGTTTAATTATCTTACCCAATAACATAGAATTTCTCAGATTTGTTATCTTCTTGAAAATATCTTTTAGCTTATATTTCTATCAAATGTGTGATATTTTGATTATCATTATTTTCTTTTCTCAAAGATTCTTAAAGACATATAACTTGCGCTATCGTTATTAATTTGAAACAAGAACATGGATCTTATGAGATTTCAAAGTTGAATTTTTCATAAAATACAAATGTGAATTCTATCTTAATTATGCGAACTAGATTATAAACAACCCTAGAACAAATCTTCAATTGCAAATCTTTATTTTCGAGATGAAAGACAAAACTATAAGGTGTGGGTGTAGGTGTGTGAGTTTGGGTGTCGAAGTGTATATATTAGTTACGAACACCCACACCCAAGATTCAGTCCAAAAAGTCTACAACCCTTTAAGGTTCCGCAGTTCTGTCTAAAACCATTTTAAGTTCTAGATTTTTTCGCTTGAACTTAAAAATGGTTCTGAAAATGGAACCGAGAAAAAGTTCAGTGTGATACCTTCTTTTTTACAGAGTGGAACTAAAAGCAAAAGCGAAGTAAGAATATTCTAGAAATGACTCCGAATATATTCATTAGCGGTCATAATGAGTAGTCTACTGAAGAAAAGAACAGCAATTTTGAAAAAATTTTCACAGTTACATATGTCAGTGCACATGAAAATCACCAATGATCTTATATTCGACACCAAAAAATTGCTCAAGAGCATTGAAATCAATCTAATTTTGTATCATAAGCATGAACTTAAAATTGAACACCTCCACTAATACTTCTCTCTAATACCAAAGTCGAAGTAATATTCTTACACGACAATAAAATTAATGATTTCAAGATAGAGTAGAATGCATGGTGCACGTGTTTGTTTTGAAACTTTGTTGAACCACACCGTAATTTTTCTCCGCCTTTTTATATATCAAAAGATGCAGTTTCCACGGGCTTCCAGGATATGTTCTTGTTTCTGTGGGGTGGATTCTCCAAAGTGGTCATTTGACCAAAATACGAAACAAAAACTTTTCTCGAAAATTTCAGTCAAATATTTGATTTAAGTTATATCGTCAACTAGTATAATAACCATAGTTTGACGGAGAACAGGTTTAGCGCTATCGAATGACATATAGCTTCTTTAAATTTGGTTAGACCATCATAAGAATATCTGAAGAAGAAACAAATTCTTGAAAAATGGTTTCTTTTTCAAAATCTCAATGAGAGTAATTCACTTGTGTTTCTTATATCTCAGCAATACAACGACATCTAGTCGTGATTTCTTGGAATTATTATGTCAACATAATGACTTGTAAATCTAGATAGACAAAAGAAACAAGATCGAAAGACCACCTCCGGATGGGTTGGCCCATGGTCTCATAAAACATCTCTTAAGCACATGTGTTACATGGTAGTGTAAGAATCACGAGATATCAGTGAAGTCAGTGAGGACCATTCATCATTATTCCAGTGGCATCGGTATCAGTGGTTTCAATTCTTTAAAAACTCTTTCGCTATTTAAAACCCATTTTTTTCACAAAACACTAAAGCTATGATTGCAATAGCTATTATATAGCTTTTCGCAGGTAATGTGTGACAGAAACCTAATGCTTTACCTCACAGCATGACTGTTTTTTTTACATAACTGTGTTGCTTTCTTAGTTGAGTGAAATTGCACTGGACATATGAGACAAATATCCGTAATTTTAAAGATACATCAACAGATAACACTACATGAGATTTAGCTCAAGAATTGATATAAATGAATTAGTTGTGGGTTATTTGTTGATGATTTTATTATTAACGGAAATTTTCGATGTTATTCGAGCATTTTCTACCTATAAATTTGTATATGTATTGTGTTTTGAAACATCTGAGATTGTAGGTAGACAATGATCGAATAGGATCGAAAATTTCCGTTAATAATAAAATCATCAACAACTAATCTACAACAAATTCATTTATATCAAATCTGTAACTTTACTGATTTTCGGATTTCTACATTGCTCACTTCTACGATTTACAGAATTCCCAAGATTTATGAGATTCTCATAGCGTTCGGAGTCCAGAAAACCTACAGATTCTCTCGTTGGGCCTGTGGCATTAGTCAAACGAAGAAGAAAAGTAATTCATACACTGCTTTTTGATAATTATACCAAAGGTGTTTATTTTATTGAATATCAATTCAAATATTTGCCTTCAGATGGCATCTTTTACAATCTGTCCGGCAACCAGTGATCAGCAGTGACACACGTTGATTTCGATTCCGGCACAAGTCTCTATCCGGTATCTATTAGGAATGCATGTATCTGAATATTGATAGCTGCACATAGTAGTATGATCTCATTTCAGTGGAAATAAAATTAATAAATATCGAAAACAACAATCTCTATTGCCTAAGTCAGTATGCGCTAATTATCACGGTAAGCTGTTTTGAGGGTATAAGTATGGATGTAGAGATTGTATATGATAGTTGAGATTCGTTGCAGTATAGCGAGTAGGTCTTTTTTATGAGTCATTTGTTTGCATGGCCTGTCCGAATGGTTACTGGGTATTTTTTCAATATAGATAAAATTTTATCTTTTCATGTGCTGTATTTGCATATGATAAGGTATATTTGATAAAGAAAAAAAATATGATGTTCTATAGCATAAACAATGGGTTTTGAAAGTTTTCAAATGAGTTAGCAGCGCAGTTTGTATGTCATTCGAATATCCTTTGGGATGCAGAAATAATTCTAGATTTTCAGAAATCATACAATGGTTTACATGAATTTCGGCCCACGGAATTTTCGGACCAATTTTATACAAATTCATTAAACTCGGAGAAAAAACGAATTTTTTTGAAAATTGGTTTCTAGATTTTTTTAGTACCGAGCGCAGCGGCGTAGTGCTGAGCGAAGCGGCGTTTTTCATTCCATAGAAGAAAAACGAGTTGAAATAAAAAAAACCGAATTTATACCTAATTTACATCTCAACAAATTTCGAAAAATATACCAGCAATAGTGAATTCTACATCTAAAATAAAACTAAAAAATGTGCATCCTTAAGCCAATATTGAGATTACACTAGATTCGTTCGTGCTTGTTTTGGATAAACGATATGTATCTTAAAACGCCATACTATGTTCTATAATAATAGAAGTGCTGTTTTTAACACTATATTACTTCGCTTGGCGCTACGACGCTTCGCTCAGCACTACGACGCTTCGCTCGGTACTAAAAGAATCTAGAAACCAATTTTCAAAAAAATTCATTTTTTCTCCGAGTTTAACGAATTTGTATAAAATTGGTCCGAAATTCCAGTCTCCCCATACAATAGTTAGAAATTTATTCACCATATTAAATTCTATTGAATTTGTTTTTTATGTTAATTTAATATTCAGTAAAAAGAACAACGCCATATCACATTAGCAATACAAGTATCTTTTTTAGCTAGGTGATTATTTTTAGTGGTGTAAATCGATACTATTATGTCAAAGTCGGTTCTTCTGAATCTTCCTGCTGAACTACTCTATCAGATTTTCGATCATCTCGAAGCACGTTTTATTATTTGTTCAGTTCGTCGTGTTTGCTCGCAATTTTATGTACTTGCCAGTGCCTATAATCGTTTTGAATTAGAATGCGGTTCAATGAGCGAATCGGACCTGAAACTTGTTTCTCGATTCGTTCAACCTGAAAACGTAGTTTCCCTAAAGTTATCGACAGCAGACAATAGAGATCAATACATTCAATTATTTCTTTCGTATTTCAACATTTGTCGATTCACTAGGCTTCATTCAATAACTTTTTGCAATGTCCGTCGTGCAGCTGAAATAAATCGATTTTTGGAGCACGTTACTTCCATTACCTCATTTTCACTTACAATTGTTGGATATGAAGGGGAAAGAGATCGGATATTGGAAAGTATATTTCCTCTCGTTATTAATTCAAAGCTCCGTAAACTCTCTTTGCATAATTTGAATTATACAAATTCAACATTACCGTGGCCAATTCAATCAACATTAGAACAACTGACAATCCAAGATTGTACATATGATCAATATTGTGTTATACTTTCCAATTCTTTCCAGTTAAAAAGTTTTACCATGAGAAACTGTATCATGAATACCATTCATAAAACGGGTTCGTCGTCTTTGACTACGGCATCTCATTTGGCGAAAAGACAACGCACATCTCCCACTACTGCAGGTATAGAAAGTCAAGGTGTGGGCATAGATATGTGTGTCACTGTTATTTTCATGTAATCCTCACCCCCATCAAGGCTTGCACATACCTTCATGATTAAAACTTTGTTTTTATCTATTACTTTTTTCATTTATAACACAATAGGGTATCATCAACTAATATCATTGGCTATTGGCAATTGTGAACTACCCATTAAAGACTTGGAACTTCTCCTTTCAATGACACCATCGCTTGTCTACCTCAAGTTAGTATCACCTAGGGAAGTATTCGATTCGATCTTCAATGGCTCTTATTGGAAGCAATACATTCAGAATACATTACCGTTACTGAATAAATTTGAGTTTCTCTTGACTTTTGATATTATGAAGTATGATGGTCATATGGATATTGAATCGCTTATTTTGCCATTTCATGATTCTTTCTGGCTCAGTGAAAAGCGATGGTTTGTTGCATGCGATTATATTATTAACAGACCCAGAATAAATCTGTATACAACACCAGTATGTGTGCGCTCTGAAGAAAACAAACATGCTACGTTACAAATATCATCCACAGATGGAATCGTCCATGCCATTTTTTATCCTATAGTAAGTACTTTTAGAACCTATGATTGTATCAAAAGTAACTAAATCTTTTCATTCAACGAAAGAGAATACTTTGGAATCAGCGTCATTAATATTAGATAATGTTTCGTGACTACTGTAAAGTTATATTTCTAGGTGTTTAGAATCTAAATCGTTTTGAATAGTATAAGTAACCTACAGATACTCGGTCGTAGAATTGTGCTGATGTATTAGCTCTATTTTAATATATGCATGTACTTACTTTTTTTTATTTCTGCGCAAAAGCCCTACAAATTGGACCTTTCAATGACTCAAATGGGGGATATACTACTAAAACATCTTGCCGTCGAACTACAAAACCGCAACGTAGTATCTTTTTTGAAACATCTTACTCGTTTCATTCACGTTTTTCTGTCGCGCAGACTTTAACTCAACTTGACCTTTCACGGAATCAAATCACAGATATTGGAGCACAACACATCGCCAATGCATTTCGAACTCATACAGTTAAACTTTTTCAAAGTCCATTTCCATAATATGTATATCTTATGTCACATATAGAATTTGGAAACGTTAGATCTTTCGCACAACAGGATCGGTAATGATGGAGCTCAATATCTTTTCGACGCTTTGAAAGAGAATAAAGTATGGTTTCAAGATTTCTTATCTAAGTTATCTTTAACTTTTTCGTGATTACTTTCTCATAGATAATCACCAACTTGGAACTGGAAGGAAATATTGGAAGCTATTGTACAGCTGTTAGTACAGCAATTCTAATAAAAAGCAACAAGGTGATACATTTCTAGCAACTGCTTTATTGTATAGTTTAACTTGTGTAGCAGACTCATACAACAATGAATCTGAAAGCGATGAAAATCGGTAACGATGAGACACGGTTTCTGGCTGACGCATTAGAAAATAATAAAGTCATAGATTTGCACGATTTGTCTTTTGATTCGTTATGATTTTTATTTTCATTTAGACAATCACTGAGTTAAACCTTTCAAATAACGAAATCGGAGATATTGGTGCGCAGTACTTAGCTCATGCATTGCGAGACAATAAAGTAATATATTGTTTAATTTTTCTTTCATGTATTTATGTTGCTTGCGTAGACACTTACTTCACTGATATTCGGCTGCGATTATAAAAAAAAGGTAACGCGACGTTTGCGTCGCCAACCCTCTACTGAAAGGATTTAGTCATGTGGAACGTAGCTATCCAAAACTATCTAGCTGAGAGACTTCACATTTTATAGCTTCGAAATGATTTTCATGNGTCTCATATATGCGTTGAACGTGATCCTTTTAAACACCGCATTACTGATTCAAAGGTTCACCTCATTCTATAATTATTAGATAAAAACGAAGAGAATTTTCAAAAAAAAACGAAAACAACAGTTGTGGGACTAATTCAATTCAGTTACATCTACATATGCGATAAATTCATCACAATTTAGAGAAGAATGGGACATGATTCCCGAGTACTTATCAGTTTGCGTCCGTTCGTAGATGCACTAATCTAGAATTCTAGGAGTTAAGTTTGAATAAATTCTTCGTGATGCAATAAAAGTTGACATATCAAGAATAAGCTGAAGATTTTGAGAAAAGCTTTCAAACTCTCAGTGCAGGTGAACGGCTAGTCGTTCGTCGGCGCCCCTATGGAGCGCCACTCACGCCTAGCCGCTCCCAAATTGAGAATCAATTCAACCGCACGATGCCTATAGCCTATTCTTAATAATATCTTACATAACCATACGATACATCTAACACTATAAACATCATCGAATGGTATCCTCAAAAAAGTTCCCTACAAAGCATTCCTATCAAGAAAATGCGACGATCTAAACAGCTCCTAATCCATTACAAACTTGTTTGAAGCACAAAATTCCAACAATCTGACAACGCCATCGTGTTCCCCGACTCCGATTACCTTCGGTCAACCCTTATAGAAAACTATTTTTTTCTCAAAAAAGTCTCTCTCTCTCTCCTAAAAAAAGAAAAAAGAAAAATTTCAAAAATCTGACAAAGCCATCGTATTCCCCGACCCCGATTACCTTCGGTGAAACCTATCTCTACAGATATTGTTTGAGGTTAGTGAAGTTTATGCATCAGCTTTCCTATTGGACGAACGAACGAACGGACGAACGGACACACATACACACACGAACGAACGAACGTATTTAACTCACTTTTCGTAAGACCCTCCCTTCAGTAGAGGGAATTAGCCATACAATGTCTAGTTTTCAGAATTTGAAATTGACAATCCTATAGAACTAATTAATGTATCTATTGACCATCAAGATAAAAAAATTCTAACTTGAAATTCTTAAAATTATAATTGGCTTTCTAAAAAAACTTTTTGAATTGAAAGTCACGAAACATGGTGGAGTAATATGTCGTATCCATGTAGGCTTTCTTTAGCTGAATTCGATAGAGGAAGCGAGAACCTTCTAATACGAAAAGTGATTTTAAAGTTTTTTATTGATAATAACAACGTATGAATTAACTAGAAAAGTCATATGATTTAGCTGTTGAATTCAGGATATTTTCTATCAGAAGCAAAATAAAAAAGACAACCAGAAGCTCCCTGATCATGCTTTTATTCATAATCCAGTCTACTTCTTTTTGTCACAGGAATTCGAATGGTCGCCATTTAATCACGAATCCTGTACAGGGAATCGAATCGGAGGTACAGGAACACACCATCTCGCTGATGCATTAGAAATGAATCAGGTGGCATAGTCTTTACAATTAATTTATTTTATTGATTACTTGTTTACTATACAGACGCTGACTATATTAAATCTCTCTTCCAACCGAGTTGGGAACGACGGTGCAATATGTCTTGCTAAATTGTTACAGAAGAACACAGTAACTTAGGAGAATTTTCTTGCTAATTCTATACCACATTCAAATTCTCTCATACAGCCGTTGGCTAAATTGATTCTTCACAATCAGTGTGAAGGAGACAGAATCGGAGACTTGGGCGCATGTTATTTGGCTGATGCATTGAAACAAAATCAGGCAAAATACTTACAGGAATTGTGTTAATATATATTTGTTCATATAGACATTGACTTTGCTAGACCTTTCGGGAAATGAAATTGGAAATACGGGGGCACAACATTTTGCTACAGCCTTACAGAAAAACCAAGTAATGCTTTTTGTTACAATCATCTCGTGCATTTAAGCCTTCATTTTATTCTTCAGACACTAACCATATTAAATCTTGAATCAAATCGGGTACAAGATGATGGTATGAAATATCTTGCTAAGGTCCTGGAAAATAATAAAGTAACATCTTGAAATTATTTTTCTCTCGAAATTATTAGAATTAATTCAAATAGACACTTAAGAGATTGGACTTAGAAAAAAATCCTAGTGACTCCTATGCATTTGTTAGTGCAGCATTCCAAATACAAAATGACCCAGTAAGTGATTGTTAACAACCCAATACTTTCGTAACAATCTTGAGTTCACGTAGACAGTCACAAGAATTTATATTCGAAACAAGAAAATTACTGACACTGATGTACAATTTTTAGCAGATGCATTACGAAACAACAATGTAACAAATTTTGTCTCATTCAGTTTACTAAAGATTATGAACTTTTTTTAATTAAATAGACAATTACTGAGTTGAAACTTTCAAGAAATCAAATAGGAGATAGTAGCATACAATATTTGGGAGATATATTGCAAAACAACACAGTAATCTATTATTTAAATGATTTTTATCATAAAAATCATCGCTACTTTCATAGAAAATTAAGACATTAGATCTCTCCTACAATCAGCTCACCAATGATGGAGCGAAACACTTATCCAAAGCGCTCAAGGACAGCGAAGTATGATTTCATTTGTTGTCAATCTAAAATGCATGAGTAATTTTCGGCAGACACTTGCAGATCTAAACCTCGAGGGAAATATTGGAAACTATTGTGCGCTCGTTAGCGCAATGATGCAAATACGAAACGGAAACGTGACTAATTGTTGTAATAGTTTTGCCATATGAATTTAATATGCCGTTTTCTACAGATACATTCCACTATTTATTTGCAATCAAAAAAAATCGGTGACGATGAAGTTAGATTTCTAGCTGATGCATTAGGTGGCACCGAAACGGTAGCGTCTCTCGACTATCGCAATCAGTTCTTGTAGTTTTGTTTTTACGTAGAAATTCATCGCATTATATCTCTCAAATAATGAAATTGGAGATGTTGGAGCTGAATTTTTAGCTCGAGTTTTGCAAAATAACAAAGTGATTCATCACTAACAGCTATAGTAACCAGATTTAACCTTATCTTTTCTTATAGACATTGGAGAAACTCTTTCTTTTACATAATCGAATAGGACTCATTGGATTACAATGTTTACTTGATGCATTTGGAACCAATCAAGTTACATATTTTACTAAATAGCATTTACTAGCGATCATGTTTTTATTCTCGCATAGATCATCGATCATGTTGAAATTGACAACAATATTACTGACGATACAGAAGTGCAGCAGTTTTTTAAATTCTTGCAAACTAATATAGTTTGTCTTACCATTTTCATCTTGTATTCCACCTATCCTTATATTTATGTAGACAATTACGAACTTGAAACTAAATGGGTTTAATAATCAGCACTGGCGAAAACACAGAATATCAATTGAAAGATCCACTTATAAGGTATTCTGAAATCGCAGGCTTTTTTCTCGCAGTCATAAGCGCTTTTTTAGAAGGATATCAGAATGGATACTGATTGGAAAATTAACTTCGGAAATAATGAAATGAAATATTTAGCGGATGTATTACAAATCAACAAAGTAAGATTGTTGATTGAAATTACTAATAAACGCGATTTGTTTACTACTTAGGTAATTACTCAGCTAGATCTTTCAAGAAATGAAATTGGAGATGTTGGAGCCGAGTGTCTGGCTCGAGTTTTGCAAAATAACAAAGTGATTACTTACTCACAGTTATAGTAATGATATTGAATCTTACTTTGTATTGCAGACGTTGAAGAAACTCTCTCTCTTACATAATCCAATAGGACTCATTGGATTACAATGTTTACTTGATGTATTTGAAACCAATGATGTGATACATTTTACTAAGTAACATATACTAGCTATCATGCTTTTATTCTCGCATAGATCATCGATCATGTTGAAATTGAGAACAATATTACTGGCGAAGCAGAAGTGCAGCAATTTTTTAGATTCTTACAAACTAATATAGTTTGTCTTACCATTTTCATTTTGTATTCGACTAGCTCTTATATTTATGCAGACAATTACACAATTACGAGTAATTGGATTTAATACTAGATACTTGCAGGAGCACGGCATATCGATTGAAAAGTTCAATGATAAAGTATTTTGAGAGATTGAATGATTTTCCTCACAGTTGCGAACGTTTTGTTTTGTAGAAAGACGTCAGGATGAATATTTATTGGAAAAATAATTTTGGAAATAATGAAATAAAACACCTAGTAGATACATTAAATACCAACAAAGTAACATATTTTGTTGACTGAAGTCGTTGATGAGCACGATTTGTTTACTAACCAGACAATTGCTGAGTTGAATCTTTCACATCATGAAATCGATGATACCGGAGCACAATATCTAGCTGATTCTTTACGAGAAAATGCGGTGAGAAACGTTTTGATAACAATATTGGCATACAACTCATTATTCAGACACTAAAAAGACTCGAGCTATTTGGAAAGAATAATGGTTATTGTGCAGTTATCGGAGCAGCAATAGGATTAAGAAATGACAAAGTAACTTTGAATTACCTAAATTTGTGTTGCATATGTGTTGATGTCATTACATCAGACTATAACCGACTTAAATCTCTCAAATTTGAAGATTGGCGACAAAGAAGTACAACATCTTTCTGATGCCTTACAATATAGCCAAGTATCAAGAAATGCATTCCTGTTTATTTTTCACATGCGTTTTCTTCTATTTTTCTTTTAGACGCTGACCCAGTTGAACCTTAGCTCGAATGCAATTGGTGGCAATGCAATGAAATTTCTCTCTAGCGCTTTAGAAAGTCACATAGTAAGCTCTCATTAATTGTTCAACTACTCTCATGTCCACTTAGATGCTCGCAACTTTGAATCTTGAAAGAAACAAAATCGGAGATTTTGGAGCACAGTGCCTCGCTGATGTGCTACGCAAAAGCAAAGTACTTAAATCTCTTGATCAATTTAATTCACATTTATGTCGAGTTGTTTTCGTAGACAATAACAACATTGAACCTTCAATCGAACCAGATTGGGCAAGATGGGGTGCGATATATTTCTGATGCGTTAGAACACAATCCTGTAAGTTTTACAGACTACTAAATCAATCTCATATTGATACTCACTTTACAATTAGATTCTGGTAACTTTAGATCTTGGATACAATCAGATAGGAGATATTGGAGCACAATATTTGGCAGACGTATTAAAAAACAACAAAGTAGTTTATTTTCTCGATTAGTTTAATTCATAATTATGTGAACTATCTCCCATAGATACTCACCAAATTGAACCTGAACGTTAATCAAATTGGGGATGATGGAGCACAGCAATTGGTTTTTGCTCTGAGTGAAAATACGGTGACTTATTGGTTTCTACTTAATTTAGCCATGTTTATCTATACTTTTACACCTAGACATTGTTAACACTGGCACTTATTGGTAACAACATCACGCCGCAGCAAATGTGTGACTGGGAAGACGAAGTAGAAAGAATTGAGCTTTATGCCCATTATCCCAGCGATTGCTCGCCTGATTGTGAATATGGTTGTTATACTGATTCTGGTTCTGATTGATTAACGACTCCAGTCGATGACCAATTTTTCGATGACATGGCAGAATAAAACTAAATGGTCAGCTAAAGCGTGCACCTCTTTCGATCAACGCAATCCTTGATTTCAATGCTCTTTTTTCTTGTTTATGTATTTCACTAGAGGGTGTGGGTGTGGGTGTCAGTGTATCTAAAAAGAAGGCAGACACCCACACCCACACCCACACTCGCCCTTTTCAATTTTAATCTCCAGTGAAAACCAGAGGTAATGATTCAATAAAATTTTTCTTTAGTATTTTCAGTAGCAAAATGTATGTTGCTAAATAATAAAATTAGTCTTACTGAGTTATTTCATCGAACTAGTTTTGTTTGAATTAAAAAGTAACATTTTCAGTCTCAAAAAATCTTTTTTTCAATATTCATTTCATTTCGTTCGTTCATAGATTGTACATAGATTAACTTTTTTTTAATGTGTGTCATGTTTTTCAATCGAATGTGATGCTTCGTCGTTATAAAAAGAATGCCTTCAGACACAAGTGAAAACGAGAAAATTTATAGAGAACCCTGTAGTTAGCAGCAAGTAAAAAGTAAATGTTCTCGGTTTCATTCTTTGAAATATTCTAATGCAAAAGAATCAAAAAATAAGATGTTTTATAGAACAGGAAAGTACCATAGAACGAAGGAATATCTACTGGTTCATTATATATATATATACAATAGATTTGCCCTATTGATTTATTTTTAACTGAGACTTTGTAGCATATATGCGAATGAATCACTTCAAGCGAAAAGAAAAGTCCGCTGGAAAAAGGAAATGTCCATTAGTCGCGTATGCATGTTTTTCTTTCCTTTCGCCACTGATATATATGACATTTCATCAGGAATGAAAGGTCCCATATACGCTAGTGGGACTTTTAGTAAAGTGGACAATTTTTGGACGGTTGACATTGCTGTTCAGAGAAGTGTCGGAAATGTGGCTTGAAATATACTTCAGCTTTTCTTTCTTTTAAAATTTCATCTTTCTTTTTCGAGCGTAAGGAAAAAGTAAATAGTATTAAAAAGCGTGTATCTTTTCTGTTGCAAACGATCTTAAATAAGATACGTATACGGTTGGCAAAGCGTACTATTTATCGATCATTGATGATACTGTATGACAGATTTTGAATGCGTGAGATCCTATCACTTCCTGCCTGCAAGCGAAGTACGCAAGTGACTTCATAGGTTGTATATTCATATCTTAGAGATTTGTAAATATATTATGTTCTTGTCGTTTACGACCATAGATAACACCAAAAGATCATTCAGTTCGAGAGACTTATTCTGTATTAGATCGACTCTCAGTCTCCGCTTCGAGTTGCACGCAGCCAAGTAAATATGAAAATTTCATGCATGTTGTGCAAATCAGTACTATACCAACTATCTTGAGGGTGTGGATGTGGGTGTAAATAATCACTTCATTCATCCACACCCACACCCGCACCCGCAAGATTAATTCAGACGTAAAATGTTCATCATTAGGCTTTTCGAATAAGTCAATCAATGCATGTTTATCAATTTGACTTAAAATTGAATAACAATCGATATCGTGGTATAGTAAAATTTTTCCTACAGATTTTCCATATTGTTCTTCAATGACTTCAAAAAAACACGGCTCACCTGTGAGGGCGATTAGCTGTTCAATTTCATTGTTATCCATAACTTGATTTATGCCTGTCCGCTATATGTCAAAAAATCGTTGGTATCGGAAACGAACCTCATTCGATAATTGTTTAAACAATCGAATGCATGAAAATCGCGAATATATCTAGATGTCGCACAATTATATATGATTGATCAATGTATACAACAAACAAAAACTGTTGTGTCGTCATATAATATTTGGAATTCACCTGGGTGACTCAAAAAAAGTTATACTTAATGATTGAAATTCGTTAAAAGCGAAAAATATCTTTTGATAAGTTATACAATCATCTCCTACTTCATTTTTAACTAGAAAAGTAGCTCTGATTATTCGCAGTTTATGATGTAGAACAACTACACAAGTTATTAAATTTTCTTCAGAAATCTTTAAAAATATTCTCATGCATACGACAGAAGTATTTTTCCGTTGCCATATAATAGTATAAAGTAAGATATAATACTCTGCATTGGTAATTTTGTCAAACGTCAACATGGTCATCTTTGAAAAAAGTACATGATGCACTTTGGTTTTAGGTTTACGAAGTAGAACATGTATTATCAATTAATTGATAATATTAGTTCTAAGTATTTAACTTACATCAATATCATTTCTTACCATTTAAATCAGATTTTTTGATTAATTTGATTCTAATAACTAAACTTTGTGTTCGCAAAGTCTTAATCCAAAACATTTTCTCCCAATTGATCGAATATACAAAATATAACAGCTGAAAGATTTCATTGGCAAAAAATTGTACAACAGAAAATTTGGCAGTTAAATGAGATGAAATAATCCATTCGATTAGCGGAATGAAAAATACGAACATTTTTAGGTTGATAGAAGCATATCGATCGAAAACTCTTATAGAATGCATTATATATCATAGTTCGGAATCAAAAACATATTTAATGAAAACCATGAAACTGATATGAGAGGTAGTTTATTGCACTTCTCTTGTACTTCACTTGTACTCTCATCGTACTTCAAAACTTTTTTGAAGTAGATGAAGTCGCGCTTTTTCCCCCTTGGGAATTTGAATTTGCGACAAACTAATTTTCAAACAAATGGATTTACAGTCAACTATAGCGGTATAATTGCTTATCAATCCATTCGTTGGCAAATTATTTTTCTTATCGTGAAAATGATTTTGCCGCAAATTCAAATTCCCCATCATATGAAATTTCTGAGCGACTGAAGATAATATACCCACATTGATATTTTTTTCTTGTTCAATTAGCTACTTCAATAGAATCGATTAGTATTTTAATTTGATTAGACAAAAAAGGCAGATAATTTCGAGTTAACTTCGTTCTATTTCTAGTAAAGTATAAT